GGGGGCTTTATTCTTAGTTACCACTGACTGATTCCGTACATTCTCTGTACCTGGACTGGTTAAACAAGCATGCTCATTTAAAAAGCATCGATTAGAAATTAAGATTTAGCAACAAAATTGCAAATTCAAATTTTAAAATAATGAAATAAAGGCCTTTTATGGAAGATCCATTCCATCATATTCTCTTAACTATACAGAAATATTTCTCTATCTGAATCTTTTGGTTTATCAGATTTTGTGGTATTATCTTCAAAATCCAAATCTGTCAACAGTTCATCGTATATATATTAAAGAGATGCAAGATATTCCTTAGTCGTGTTAACACCCTATTGTTTCGCATAAGAGTGTGATGATTATCAAAGGATTTTAAATGTCTTTGCACTAAGTTATATCTACTGAGTCGGAATATACAGTCAATAGTTTTACAGTTCCTTACATGTGAGGAATTGTAGAAAAAACATGAAAACATGACTGATTCATTTTTTAAATAGATGCAAGAACAGAAAATAAATTATGATAAAAAGATGATTTGAAGATTTAAAAAAAAAATGACTGAATTAGGATTGTTCACAAAGTCTTAAAACATACCGGTAGGTGGTCATTTTCCATGCAACAAAATAGAGCCAGCTCCTAACAACCGTGGTTACAGATGCAGGTGGACCAGAGCCCCCCCCCCCCCCCCCCATTGCCCATTTCACAATTGATAACTACAGAGTGAGTTTGAAGAAATTATATTTTAGAGCTATTTCTTATTCAACTTAACTATTATATTTAAAAAATCAATCAATATTTAGAGAGACCCCCGTGTCCTATTTTTTTTTTAAAAATATGTAGGCAATTGAATAAATATAAATCAACATTAAAGTTATTTTTATACTCGGTGGGTGGTTACGCCAATTTCAATATTGGACCTCTTCAACTCTAGTTACACAGCAAAAATAAAGGACACTTTGTTCTCCCAGCAATTTGTATATTATAATGATCAAAGCCATTACTTAGATATATCTGAAACCATTCCAAAAGACAATACCGCTATAGACAAGAACCGTCGACTTGTAGATCATGTAATTCAAACGTTTGAACACAACCATCTTGAAAATCATCTCCGGCGTTAAATCTAGCAACACAAGTGATCAAATCAATAATTCAATCATTCTAAAGTGGACATGATAAGAAGTATAAAAGGGAAGACCCACGGGATTGAAAGTCTGGAAAAGTCTCGCTTACGGTCTATACCGTAAGACAGCTTTATCTCTTTATAAAACAATTGTCTCTCAAAGTAAATTCCTGCATTAAAAAAAGCCGAATAAATTACAAGATTCCAGTTAGCCACGACGCTCTGTGAAGGTACATACTGTCACGGTCGTCCTGTGCAAATTGTCTTTGGTGACAATATGAACCTAACCTCAGTGCACATATTGTCGGCCATCGTCACATATTGCAGTCAAATTATACATGTACAATATTGTCGTCGGCGACGATATGTGCCTACCCTCATGGGACATATTGTCACCCTACAGTTAGGGTTCAGATTTTCCCCCGTTTTGTGAATGTTACTAATCTAAGACAGAAAGCAAAATTAAACAAGATGTGTTTATAAAACACTGATGCTCCCGTATGGCAGCTCATGGCGAAGGTTTAAGTTTTTCAAATGCAAGTCAAATTCCAAGTTCAAGGTCAAAAAGTCAAAATTGTTGGTATCCAAAGAACGGTCTGTCACAAACAATACACATGTGAAATATGAGAGCCCTTGCATCAACCATTCAGAAATTATTGTGAAACTCCAAGGTCAAGGTCAAAATCGTTTGTACCCAAAGAAAGTTTTTGTCAAGGAAAACATATGCGAAGTATTAAATCCCTAGAACCAACCATTCAAAATTTATGGCTCAGGTTAAAGTATTTCAGAAGTAGGTCAAAGTCCAAGGTTAAGGTAATAAAAAGGTCAAAATTGTTGGTACCCGAGGGAAAGTATTGTTGAAAGGAATACACTGGTGAAATATGAAAGCCCTAGCTCCAACTGATTAAAAGTTATGGACAATGTTAAAGATTTTCAAAAGTAGGTCAAACTCCAAGGTCAAGTCAAAATTGTTGGAACCCAAAGAAAGTTCTTGTCACAAAGAAAACACAGTGGTGTGAAATATAAAAGCCCTAGCATCAACCATTCAAGACTTATGGCCAAGGATAAGTTTTTCAAATGTAAGTCAAACTCCAAGGTCATGGTCAAAAGATCAAAAAATAGTACAAATCTCTTTTCTGCTTAATCTTTCAGTAAGGCGTGAGAATCTAGGTCACTATTTGAGAGACGCTAATTATGTATCGCCGAGAATGTCACGCCTTACTGAAAGTTTAAGTAGAAAAGAGATTTGTAATATTTGTACCCAAGGTCTTGTCACAAGGAATACACATGTGAAGTATGAAAGCCCTAGCTCCAACCGTTAAAAAGTGATGGCCAAGGTTAAAGTTTGGTAAAATTTTGCAAAAGTGTGTCAAACTCCAAGGTCAAGAGGTTAAATATGTTAGTACTTTCTTTCCACAAATTTTATTTAAAAATATACTTTGTTATTATGACTAGTTTAAAGTAGTCATTACAACAAAGTTTATTTTTAAATAAGATTTGTGGAAAGACAGTATCCAAAGAAAGGTCTTGTCCGAAGGAATACACATGTAAAATATGAAAGCCCTAGCTCTAACCGGTTAAAAGTTATGGGCAAGGTTAAAGTTTTTGCGGTCAAAGAGGAAAAAAGACAGACAGACGGACGGAAAGAACAAAAACTACAGTGAAAACTGTCTAAACCGACACCTGTACAATCTCTTTCACTGTGAAGTCTGACCTTTATTTTTATTTCCATTTTACTATTTTCCATGTTTTTACACTGTGCAATCCAACATCATGTCTATTCCATCTCAAAATTGGTCGCCCAATGCATGTCGGGTTAAACAGGTTTCTTCGATTACGGGGGCATAAAAATCAGTGGGTTTAAAAATTCAATCCCAGTGTTTAAATATTGCAGTTAATAAATCCATTCATTTTATTTGCCAAAAATATATTACGATATTTTTCCGAAACAGTCTTTTAGCCAATTAAAATCCAACTAGATTCTCTGCCCGAGATGAGTACATAGTACTTCGTGGTATGAAACGATTTCTCCAGTCGGCAAGCAGAGTTTGGATGCTGTTTATGGAGACAAAAGGAAATAAAGACAATCATGCCACATATGGTTTTGTAAATTTTCGTAGAAGAGAATGGTTATAAACAGTTTGCCAGTGCGTTTTCTCTGAAAGCATTTAAATGACTGCGATTCGGGGAAAAGGGGGGTGCTAGATGTAATTCGGAGTTATATATCTTGTGTTATTATACTACCAGGTAAAAAAAGATACAGAAACAAGTGCCGATGTTATGATTAATAAAATTAAGATCAATTTAAGGTCTGTGGAAACAGAAATCAAGCCCCGAAAGCTCCTGCCTTGCAAGTGTAACCGGAAATAGAACTCTGTTGTAAATAAAATACTAGTAACAAAGTTACCAGCCAATTTATCAATGATCAACCTAAGCAAGGGGATTTCTGAACAATGATTAACGGTAAATGAAAATACTGTTTAAAGTTTTATAAATTATTGAAGTGAGAATTAACCTTTGTAAATGACAATAAATAGTAAACAATTATCAAAATTTAACGAGAGAGTAAAGTCTCTCAAATTTGCACAGGAATAAATACTTATTAAAAATTTTATTAAATTTGGTGAGTGGATAACAAAAATCTCAATTGATAATTAAGAAGTTTATGAAAAAAAATGTAGGAATGTGGGAAGCCTGTGAGATATATGACAGACTAAAAATATCTATGTCCCTACTGGGCCTCCATACATGTGAAAAACTCTATAAATAAACACTACTATATATGTCAGTGACCTGGAAAATATGAGGAAAATGAGCTACATCACCCAATATGAACCCTACTAGCAACACTCTAGAGTTGAACTATGAAAAATAATGTGTGGGCTTTAATAATAACCTTCCCAGAAAATAAGGAACACCAAAAATGTAAAGGATATGAATAATAAATGACAAATGGTGGTTCTAAAATATACACCTGTTATCTACATATTCCTACACCAGGATGGACTTAGAAAAGGAAAACTTAACTCTATAATTCAAAACTAGTACATCCTAGTCTATTACATTGTACTAGAAAGGGGAAAAACGCGTAACTAAAAACTCACCACGTGGTTAAATTCCCAACCCAAGTGAAGAAAGATGTTCGAACACGGCTTAAATACCCTAGCCAGGCCCAAAAATAAAAGCCAATAAATATCAAAGATCCGATGGCTAACTTAACCAATCAGAACACATCTGTCAAAAGTACTACGGAAAACCTATACGTCCACGACTCTTCGTGTTTTAGGTTCGTAATCCCTCTGTTCACTCCTATAAAATCATGGTTTTATGCTTATTATATTCCAAAAGAAGTGTATTTTACAAATAAAATGCAAACAATTTTGGCATAGCTTGAGGGGAAAAATTGGTCAGAAAAGATATTTCTACTTGAAAGTTTTATAAAGGAATAATAGACATTTATCCAATTACAGTTATCTCGCTTTTCAGAGTATCAATGGACCTTAAAGTAAAATTTGTGGAATGTCAACCCATGGTCTAACTTATAAAAAAGTTTTAAAGACTACTATAATAAAGGAGTTTTACGTAAGTAACAACTGAACACATAATGTAAATATAGAATTATCATACTGAAATACCAGAAATATTTGTATTGTATAATTTACGAAACCAAGGGCTATTGAAATAGAAATCAAAAAACACCACACAAGAATCCTTTTATTTTATATATCCCTTTATCCGATAAATCAGTTTTTGTTTTCAAAAGATGGAAGTAAGGAACTTTATTTTGAATATCAATTCATTTTTCCGGATTTTAGTAGGTTGGTCCGTTTTAATTTTAATATACGTATTCAGTAAAAATTTCCGGTTACAGAAAGTAGGAACAATGGATGCTGTGGTAAGAAAGAATTCTTGCTTCCCCAGTCTTCAGAGTCTGTTTCTAATTTTATTAAAATGAATATTTTTCTCTAGTGATAAAGGCGAATTTCGTTTCCTTCAGACAATATCAAGGATTTAAATGATAACTGATTTAAGAACATAAACAGGTCCAGTACAATCAGTATATTTAGCTACGTAGCTAAAATTACATACCGTAGCTTTATTTACCTATCTCAGGTAGTCCGAAATATCTGACGTTTTCCTGGCTTTTTTCACGATTTCGATATTTTACGTGCCAGAAAAACGTCAGAACCGGCGCCATTACGAAAACTGGAAATTCGCCGCCTCCAACTGGAGGCGGCATTCTCGGGTTGATTTTCGATACTTGTGAACCGAATTAAATGCTGAATTCACAAGTTATCAATAGAACAATGCCTTTAGTACCCATCAACATCGTTTTTATGGTTTGTTTGTAAAATATACAGTCCGGTGAAAACATTTTATCAGACCTTCGAGTTTTGTTTTCAATTCGTGCATTTTAAAAACTTGCAAGACCTGTATTGAAATGCATAGTGATATTTTCTTTTCATCGATATTGGTGAGTATTAGAAGCATTGTGCTATTGATAAATTGTAAGTTCGGCATTTAATTCAGTTCACAAGTATCGAAAATCAGCTCCGGTTGGAGACGGCGAAATTTCCAGTTTCGGTTATGGCACCGCTTCTGATGTTTTCCTGGCACGTAAAATATCAAAATCGTGAAAAAAGCTAGGAAAACGTCAGATATTTCGGACTAATCTCAGGTAGCTTTATTTAGCTATTTCAAGGCAACTTTTCACAATTTTGCTTTTTATTTTAAAAAGACAAAAAGTCGCTTGTAAATGTCTACTAATATTTATTCTAGATATTATTTAAAAAGCAATCTGAAGCAGAGATAGTTTTAACATTGCTGCCTTTGAACACTTTTAAGGAAAATGTGTATTTTCATTGTTTGAGTATCTGTACACCACCTTGTTTGCAATGAGGTGTGGATAAGTATGATTACTTCACATTATGCTCATGTTGACCAAAACTGGTTTTCTTTGTTATTTCACTCAAGAAGTAACTGTTAGGTCACAAATTAACTGTTGTATATAGCCCCAAAACTTTTAGAACTTTGATTGCAATTGCGCAGAAAAAGACGCATCTCCAAGAGTGATTTTTATACGCCCGTCTTTAGACGGGATGTATTATGTTATGGTGTTCATGTCCATCTGTCCGTCCGTCTGTTAGCTTTTTTCGTGTCCGGCTCATAACTTTAATACTATTAGGCCTAGGATTATCAAACTTTGTCAGCTGATACTTCTTGGGTAGAAGCTGTGTCGCACATTTGAAGTAGGTCACTCTGACCTTTTATTAAGATGCTATGGCCAAATATGGAAAAATCCTGTCCGGCTCATAACTAGAAAACTATTGGACTTTGAATCATCAAACTTGGCCAATTTATGCATCTTAGGTAGAAGGTGTGTTGCGACCTATTTCAAGGTCACTGTGACCTTTAATTTAAGTGAAAATTAAAAAAAACCCTGTTTTTTTTACTATTAGATTACACAATCCCAAAAAATGCAAGAGTGTTGCAGTATCCTTACTAGAAAAATGTTGAATCAAGAAAATACTTATTTTTTTTCATTATATACTTTACAACAATCTGTAACAAATGTAATGTTACAAGAGAAATTCCACCTCTCCCTTTGGTGTAATTATCAAGCACTGGTCAAGGAGAATTTGATAACAGAAAATTGCATGTCAAATTAGAGAGAAATTAATGAGCTTAGTGTGAGGAGCTAACTGGTAGAGCATCTCTGATCAAGCAGGTGTTATCTATATCTCTTGGGAACTGGGCAAAAAGAATCATTCATGTTGGATTAAATAGTTGGCTAGCCTTTTAAACTGAATTTGGTGAAAAGTAATTAAAACTTATTTGATATTGTATAATAAATTAATTTGATATTGTATAATAAACTAATTTTATATTGTATAATATTATTAAAACTAATGATATTTGGGAGGGGGGGTGGGGTGATATTGGAATCAGCATGCCCATTGTCCGTATGAATTGCAGCTTAAAACCAGTCTGACATTAAATCTAAAAAAATCAAGTATTTAAAAAAAATGTTTTAATTATGGTAGATAGTCCCTACAAATCTAAGAGTAATGCAGGAACCTTATTAAAAATGTTGCATCAAGATTACACAAGTTTTTTGTTTCTTTTTATAAATCTTTGTAACAAAAAAAAAATCTTTGTTTTCAAATTTAATTTCAGAATGACATAAATATGCATTTTATTGCACTACAAAGCAGATAGTATGTATAGATCCATTCATCCATTGGGAGTAATGAGTGGAGATGCATCCATGCAGTTAAAGATTAATTAATGAGTTCAGTGTAGGAAGGCTAGCTGTCTCAATCATTTCTTTTAGAGGATCTCTGATCAAGCAGCTCTTATCTGTATCCTTTGGGAATTAGACAGAAGAACTGCTTGTCAGTTTATAGCATATGTCATTCGATAGCCAGCCTTTTATTTTTAATATTGATTTTATATAGATAAGTTCTTAAGATTAAATTGATATTGTTTAATATGATATTTTTATTTAATTTTTTGAAAATATCAACTAATTCAGAGCACCATGTCTCACAAATCTGAAAGCGCGGGGGGGGGGGGGGGGGGGGGGGGGGGGGGGGCTACAGATGGGCATTTGTCAAGCTCTAACACAACCAGTCAAGCTCTAACACAACCAGTTGAGGATCTATAATGTAATATTTGTTATAATTAATGCATACACCACAGGAGATGTATAAACAAATATTATAAGGAATGGAAAAATCCTTGAAATCCTTGTATCAAGGTTGACATGATTTTCTTGCACTCTACTGGTAAACTGTTTATGACAATTGAACAATATTTGACAGGTGTATCATGCTGTGGCGGGGCACTTTATTTCATGAATTGTTTTCAGATGAGTTCAAAGTTGAAAATTATCACTGCATCAAAGTGCAAGTTTGATTTAGTAGCTAAATAAAGCTACTTCAGGTAGGTAAATAAAGCTATGTAGGTAATTCAAGCTGCATAGCTAAATCTAGTGATTGTACCAGACCTGATGAACTGTTGGGTTTTCGCATTGTTTTTAAACAGGTTGGGAACAATCACCCAAATGGGATATAATAGCCCGTCTGGGATATAATATCCCAAATGGGATATAAATTTACAGTGCAAAAAAATGAAAATTTTTATTTTGGCTATAAATATCATAAATCCGCATCAAAATTCTTTAAAAGGAATAACTTTTGGCAAGCAAGTTTTTCTGCAAACCTTGTTAGATTGATCCCCAAGAAGTTTACAAACTTCTGAGGGATCAATCTCTTAAACAGTGGTCATACAGAAAAACTTGTTATCCAAAAGTTATTCCTTTATAAGTATCTTGATGCGGATTTATGATATTTATAGCCAAGATAAACATTTTCATTTTTTGCATTGTAAATTTATATCCCATATGGGATATTATATCCCAAATGGGCTATTATATCCCATTTGGGCGATTGGTCCCAACCTGTTAAATGTTTGCTTGAGCTTAATATGAGTTTTGAAAGTATGGTTCAAACACTTAAAGGCTGAGATTTTTAACTGAGTTTTTCCAGGTAAGGAGAGGGACTTACTCTTATATGCTACCCGAGGCAATGACGATTATCATTATGCAGAGAGTTGATCTCCTTACCACACCTCTGATAATAATTTGATGAAATCCTGGCTTGTGATTGGTTGTTGTCTATCATGTGAGAGTAGTGTAATATTTATAGGTGGTCACTGGAAAATCAATACATGTCACTACGAAGTTTTTGTTCTTTTGAAACACTAATATACCATCGAAAGTTCAAGTTAAAGTTCTTTCGTAAACAGAAGTGGTAAAATAATGCGAAAAGAGGTGACAGAATAGGAAAAAAGAAACAACTGATTCATTATACAAACCATAGACACCTGAATGGGTAAATTTGTTACATAGTCATACAGTGTTCATGGATGGGATGATACCTGGTTAGAAAATTTCATACCCGGTGAGGCTTTGCCTTGCTGGGTGTGAAATTTATTAACCTGACATCTTCCCGTCCATGATCACTACATGACTATGTAACTAATAACATGGTAATATTATACAGAGGAAGTCCATGAGTATTACCTGTAGGTCTTTTTAGAGGGCTGGGTGGTCGTGGCCATTTTTAGACTATATTGATCTCCTTTAGAAGAAGAGCTCCATATAATGATATACAAAAATGATCAACTTTTAAAACTAAAATATATGAATTTTTTCTTTGCCAAATGATAGTTGACAGCTTAAGATATCATATCTAAAAAAATAAGTTATATCTGATGGTTAATTTGTTGACCCCCCAGCCTCCTTAATACCTCATTTTAAACAGTAAAAACAATTGTAATCATAACTAAGTTAACTGCATTACTTATATAAAAAAAATATTAATATTATTACTGACAATTTTCAAATTTCATAGTACATGTAATAGATTCATAAACAAACAGTGTATACAGGGTTTGACACTAACTTTTCTGGGCATTAACGGTAGTCCAGATGGACTAGTACTGCTTTTTACTTTTACTAGTCCACAGGGGTTTTTAATCATCCATCAAAAAATGAAACATCAGTGTCTTGTAACGATTATATATGTACTGACTCGGAATTGCGTAACTAAATTATGCATGTTTCTATTTTCAGAGACAAGAAAACATTCTGAAAAAGAGGCTACAAGCTTTCCTTGCAGAAATGCTAAAATTTGGGACCATCAAGGGATTCAAAAACTTTGCCATGTACCTAAGGGGACGAGAAGAATTGGTTATTAGTGTTCTAAATGAACCAAAAGTATGTATATTCCCAGAGAAGCAGAAGCTATTTCTTGGTTTCTTTGATTATGTATTTATATGTGGAACTTCATGTAATATTTTGTAATTTGAAGTTTATGTCCATACAGAAATTTGGTCATAAGACAAAAAGCTTGTCAAATGACTGTTTTTATTGCTCAAATATTCATGGTACAGGTGCATTCATTGCACAAGCTCCATAAAAAATCTCCTGTTTGACCCAACATTGCTTTGTTTCAGTCCTCACCTTACAGCCACACGCTGGAGACCAAGAGTACAGCCCCGGGTTTCAAAGATCCTAACAGGAGTGGAAGCTTAACATCCAATAATCTGCCTTATGATAAGTAAGTGTGGGAGTACAAATTTAAACAACAAAAATTGTATTATTTAAAATTTATTTTACAATTTGTTTTGTATTTTTCACCTTTTTTCGATTCATTTATTTACTTCTTACATATACATGTATATAAATATGCAATAAAAATACAAAATAAATATATACCGGTAAACAAATGTTGAAATGAGTACACAAATTTGCTTTGACTGTTCTGTTTTTGTTTTTTGATTGATTTTGATTCTACCAATTTATTATTTAAACAACAATGTATCCCTGTAATATTGTTACCTGGGTGTTTATGTACCTGTAGGAGGTCCCTGTTAATATCCATGCGATCACAGATGAACTTAACTACAGCGGCAGTCCCAAAAGGTGTGGGATTACCACCGGCTTCACCAAGTGATTCAGAAACTCAACCAGGGGTACACATTCATGTCCTTTTTTTCTAATAACTTTTTTTGGATAAAGATTAATCTGTAAAAGAATGATTAAAGAGTGTTACATGTGATTTCTGATGAAAATTTTACTGTTACAAAAAGTAATGGGGAACAACTCTGATGAGTACCTTTTCTTGCCTGGTGCAAAAGATCCATTGTCTATCTTGATTTCTGTAATGAAGATAATAAAAACCTTTCCTGAACATATCCCTTTTGAGGTTAAATAATGTGCTTGTGATGTTGGAATTTACAGAATGAATACATGGCTTGCTTCAAATTGATTGAAATGCACATTTTGTTGGTTTATAATTTATGTTTTTATAATTTATTTTTTTAGGATGAAGCATCAACTTTATTCCTGATAGCCGGATATGCTCGGTACAGCTGTCCTTATGTGTGGATTCGATCCAACCACCAGCGACTTATTAATCTGATGGGTGACACCGAGTCGGAGAAAGACAGTCCTCTCCGTCTGAAAACCACTGCCTCATGGAAAGACACTAGTAAGAGCTGACTTCCTGTTGTCCTGTAATAATGTTATCCCCTCTTTCATTTCAGTTCTTAGATTATCAAGGTGAATTCTGCCATCTGTTTGGTTTTTTTTTCTATCAAGGGTGACTTGTTCTTGTTTTGCCTTTTCTCCAGAAACACTGAGACAATTTCAACTAAACATGCTCTAAGGTATCTTCAGGTGAAGGGATTTTGAGGGTTTTTTTTTCAAATTAAGGGATAGAAGGAAGACACCTTTACAATTAGAAAGATTTGAAAATAACATAATATCATTAAAAGATCTACTTATCTATAAGAGTGTTAACATTATATTTAATTAAATATTTCACATATAAACACATATCCTTACTACTAATACTCTAATAGAGAGGTTGGAATCAGGAAAGCTTGCCCCTAAGGCAACCCAAGACTCAACCAAAATTCAAGACAACTTTAGTTAATTATCAAATTTACTGAATGATGAGCACAATTATTTTAATTATCCATGAATGTTTTTCATCCACCAATGAAATTAATGTTTTCTTAAATAAAAAAAAAAAAATTATTTTAAATAATGATAGATTCCAGAGAACAGTGTGCTGTGGGTTCAAGAGAAGTTAGGTTTTCTTAATTTAAAAAAAATAAAATCATTTTAATAAGAGACTCCAGCAACCAGTGCCATGCATGCCTCAGAAAAGCAGCTACATCACAATACATGTATGTGCTGCTGTGTGATTGCTAACGTATTTATATGTATATCAGTGAAATAATTTTCATTGGCTCAGTATAAGTAACACATGCCTAACACTGTAAGATGCAAACCTACAATCGAGTTAATAAAATCAAAGGTAGGTCTAGGTATTTTTTTTTCTCCTGAGGAGGGCATGTATTTCCCACACAAAAAAATCCAACTTGGAAATGTTTTGAATTAAGAATAAATCATACTGAAAAATTTCTTTCAAAACTCAATTTCTTTCAACTCCTCCTACAGTTTTTGTCGGATGTCAATAAATCTTTCTACACAGATAGACTACACTAAGGTACAAATTTCTGTTTATTGTTTTTTTGATTTCGACATATGGATTATGGTTTTGCCATAACTAAAATAAAGAAATATTTGTGAAATTCTATCAAAAGGGACTCCTCCTACAGTTTTAGTATGATTACAAAATAAACTTGCCTCAAAAAGAGACTAAACCAAGGATCATTATTCTATTTATTGCTGTTGCAAAGTTTCAAGTCCAAGTGCTTCTTTTCTTTTCCTTTGTTTTAAGTACAGACCATTAGAGCAACTGTCTTTTCATAGACTTCTGGTTCTTTGAAATATTAAATTTCTGAGTTCATGTGAAAGATACATGTGAAAGATTTATAAGGTACTGAATGTTTTTGCATGTCAGGTACTCATTGTGGCCCTCAGGCATATTCTCTTTCTGGCACCTCTGATAATTCCAGTGTATAATGATGTTGTGTTTAACTGCAGATGTTAGCCTGTATGACATTGTGTCAGAACTAGTCAAGCTGAATACCTACCCTGCTCCACAGAATCCATTTGAACTGGACATGGAGTATTTCTCCTCTTTACCTTTATCAGAGCAAGTGCTGGAGACAGGGGCCATGGTACAAACACTTAAGAAAATATTCCTCAGTACCTCAGATGACAGGCCTTATACAGGTTACGGTAAGTAATTATTCCTTAGTACCTCAGATGACAGGCCTTATACAGGTTACGGTAAGTAAATATCCCTCAGTACCTCAAATGACAGGCCTTATACAGGTCACGGTATTTACCGTAAGTAGATATTCCTCAGTAAATGAGATGACAGGCCTTATACAGGTTACGGTAAGTAAATATTCCTCAGCACCTCAGATGACAGGCCTTATACAGGTTAAGATAAGTAAATATTCCTCAGCACCTCAGATGACAGGCCTTATACAGGTTACAGTAAGTATATATTCCTTTAGTTAGTACCTCAGATGACAGGCCTTATACAGGTTACAGTAAGTAAATATTCCTCAACACCTCAGATGACAGGCCTTATACAGGTTACGGTAAGTAAATATTCCTCAGTACCTCAGATGACAGGCCTTATACAGGTTACGGTAAGTAATTATTCCTTAGTACCTCAGATGATAGGCTTTATACAGGTTACGGTAAGTAAATATCCCTCAGTACCTCAAATGACAGGCCTTATACAGGTCACGGTATTTACCGTAAGTAGATATTCCTCAGTACCTCAGATGACAGGCCTTATACAGGTTACGGTAAGTAAATATTCCTCAGCATCTCAGATGACAGGCCTTATACAGGTTACGATAAGTAAATATTCCTCAGCACCTCAGATGACAGGCCTTATACAGGTTACAGTAAGTAATTATTCCTTTAGTTAGTACCTCAGATGACAGGCCTTATACAGGTTACGGTAAGTAAATATTCCTCAGTACCTCAGATGACAGGCCTTATACAGGTTACGGGAAGTAAATATTCCTCAGTAAATCAGATGACAGGCCTTATAAAGGTTACCGTAAGTAAATATTCCTCAGTAAATCAGATGACAGGCCTTATACAGGTTACAGTAAGTAAATATTCCTCAGTAAATCAGATGACAGGCCTTATACAGGTTACGGTAAGTAAATATTCCTCAGTATCTCAGATGACAGGCCTTACACAGGATAGGTAAGGATTCCCCTATCTTCTGTGAACCTCTGGTAATACCAACTTTTATTCTTGAGTATGTATGCACCATAGTACAACTCAGATCCTAGGGGCTGAACATGTCCCAGCAATAGTAATTACCTTGTTATGACTTACAAAATTCAAAAATGATAAACAGTTCAAAGTTTTTAAAATTTCAAAATTTGACAATGGTTTGGTAAAATTTATTGTGCTGAATTTCATTATTTGTTGAAAATGTCAAGGTTTTTTAGGTCACCTGAGCCAAAGGCTCAAGTGAGGTTTTCTTATCACATTTTTTCCGGCGTCCCTCTGTAAACTTTTCACATTTTCAACTTCTTCTCAAGAACCGCTTGGCCAATGTCAACCAAACTTGCCACAAAGTATCCTTGGGTAAAGTGGATTCAAGTTTTTCAAATAAAGAGCCATGCCTTCTTCAAAGGGGAGATAATTATGAATTTGTGAAAAATTAATGGCGTATTTTAAAAGACCTTCTCAAGAACCAAAGGGCCAGAAAATATTAAACTTAACTGGAAGCACCCTCAGATAGTGTAAATTCAAGTTGTTTTTTTTTCAAATCATGAATCCTGGGTGTAGGATGGGGACACAACGGGGGATTAAAGTTTTACATAAGAATACATAGGAAAGATCTTTAAAAAATTCTTCTCAAGAACAACAAAGCCATGATTGGTCATATTAATATTGAAGCATCCTCAGATAGTGTAGATTCAAATTTATTCAAATCATGACCCTCGAGAGTAGAGAGGGGCCCAACAGGGGATCAAAGTTATACAATGGAATATATAGAAAAATCTAAGTCGTCTTCTCAAGAACAGCAAAGCCATGATCAGTCATATAAATTCAGATGTATCCTCAGGTAGTGTACAGGCCCATAGGAAGCAAATTCAGTTTGGGGGGGGGGGGGGGCACAGTCATACATTTTCAGTTGACAGTAGAGGGGGCACTACCAAAAATTTCCTGACAAGCAAAGAAAAAAAAATAGCAAAAAAAAAAAACCCAGAAAAAAAGGTCATCAGACGTTTCTATTGAGGGGGCACAAGCATATAGTATCTAAGTTTACTGTTTACTATAGTAATCTGTATATCGGCAAAATTATTGGGGGGGGGGGGGGGCCCCCAGTTCCTACGGCCATGGTGTACATTTAAATCTGTTCAATCATGTCCATGGGAGGTAGGGCGGGGCCACAGTAAAAGATCAAACATATAGGGAAAATTCTTCAAAATTCTTCTAAAGCCATGATTAGTCAAAGAAATATTGAAGCATCTTCAGTAAGTGTAGATTCAAGTTTATACAAATCATGTCCCCTTTCTCTCTCTCTCTCTCTCCCCCCCCCCCTTTCAGGGTGTTAATTTTTGACCACTTATGTATTAAACTTTTCAGTACTGAACTTATTTCTGCTTTTTCCTAGCCAATGTGCTCAGGTGAGTGATGTGGCCCATGGATGAAGTTTTTTTATTGAAGGAATTTTTTTTTTTAACCAAAATTAAAGTTCTGCCAAGTTGAAGATTTAAATATGTCAGTGTGTTTAATGCTGATGGTGAATGAAATTCATGCAATCATTTAAATTTGGCAATCATTTCTTTGCAGTGTTAGAAGATTTACAGATTATGACCAAAATGCACTTCACTGCTTTGAAGAAACTTGTACAAGAAGGAGGTTTACCAATTGCACAGCAAGAACAAAGACACAGATCAGGTGCTGTTTCAGGGCCTGGGCGGTCCCGATACCCTAGTTCTCTGTATGGTCAGGCACCCCCGAGTCAGTATGGAGCAGGGTATTACGGTTCTTCACAACAAAGCTATTCCTATACAGGTTATTAATGACAACAGACTGTACCATTCAGTGATCTCATTCTGGAAAATGTTTTAAGCACTAGTTTAGAACTAGCTTACATTGTACAAGTGTCATTCAGTCTGTGCTGTTCCTGAAACATCTGGATTCACATAACATTTAATCTACACAAGATCTTGTGAATAAATGTGAATTTACTAGTCATTGTTATCTCCCAGGGAAATATGGGTGTATGCTTTGGAGAATTTGTGTTACCATAGTTATATTAATTTTACTTTTTTATGTATGCCACTATGGACAACTCAAACTTCCCGAGAATTTAACACATTTACTTATCTACTAGTGTGCACAGGCTCTCTTTGAGAAGCCATACCCAGATGTTCTCTCCGAGTAATTATACTCAGGTACATTCCAAAAAGAACCTTTTTAATAGTGTTTTATTATCTGTGTTCAAGTTCTCCTGGAGAATTCATAACTTTTTACAGGACATTACAATGAGTAAAGTCCAGTATGTGGATACACATGATCTTGGGGGATTTTCTATTGTAATATGTTATATGTAATAAACATTTTAAAAGCCTAATTATTTTACTATTCATTTTTTATTTTCACATACTTTGAACTTTTTATATCTGACAAATACTTTTAAAGGAAAAAAAATTATACAATGTAGTACCAGAATACCTTCAGATTTCTATATGTAAATAAAAATTCATTTTCATGGCAGTATCAAATCTTTAACAAGAGCACCACCATGCGGAACATTCACTGCTACAGAAAATATTTTTAGAATATAATGAGTCATTTTGTAAAATTGAACAGAATAAGGATGACTGGTCACTGATGTTAATAAAATGTCACTCACTTCCAATGTTTTACTAGCAAATCAAATTTGAGTTATAGCGATACCTTGATGTACATTAATTATAATGTACTCAAAGACTGAATTCAATAATTATGTTAACTTGTTTGCAAATATCCTTGAAATTAAACAGGCTTTGACCTATTACATTTGTAAAAATGTATGCAAAGTAGGATGATCCTAAATGCTAGTGTTTCAATCTTGCCCACAAGCTTGTACATGGACACACACCCCCAGTACACATTCCTGAAGCTATATTCCCTCTGCAGTTTGTTGTGTGAGGAGATAATTATCAAATTCCTACACTAATTAACACTGCATTCTCATTTCTTTTTACCATGGAATAATATTTTGTTGAAATAATTTTCTGTGTAAGGCATCCACTAAATGTAATGCACTGTATAATACCATTAATGGAATTCAATCATTTGTAGTTGCTACCGGTCAAAATTTTCACTTCAGAACATGGGGAAATGTCTGTAGCTTCAAATTCAATATTTTGGTATAGTATTGCAGTGAATTAGCATTACAAGAATACCAATATGTCAATAGTCAAACTGTTAAACAAGCATTCCTATGTACTGTTGAGAGGCCTGTTCAACAGAGTGAACGTTCGTGAGCGCTCGCTTAAATTCCTTATTTTTCCAACAGAAATGTTCGCGAGCGCTCGCGAAAGTTCGCTCTGTTGAACAGGCCTGAGGTGTCACACTTGGAGCAAATAACAGAGATGTACATGTGTCTCAGGTGAGGGTTGTAGTTTCTTAACTTCTTTGATTGCAGACAAATATAGAAGTATAATCAGGTCACATACTGTAAAATCAGAAATATTCACTGGGGATAGATTTTATCATAAAAATTTTTATGTTATAATCTTTTAAGGTTATTATTACAACAGGGAAATTAAGTTCCAGCTCACAAAATCTTTTGGAACACAATCAGGTAAATTTTACCCTCAGAAACTTTCTGCTTTTACACTATTATTTACTGGTCACAAAGTGATAAATTCTTGGAATTTATTTGAAATCTGATAGTTCCACATGTTAAATAAATAAAGGTAAAATACATGTAATTGTTTAACAGTATATTCTGAACTCTGCTATCTTTAATTATTTTCAATATTCATGTAACAGTATTGGTTTTATTTTCCCTGACAACTTTTATACTACACAATTGTTTTACTGTAAAAGTTGATCTATTCCAATCATCTTAACCTGGAAATTCAGACCCTGCTTTATAAAGAGTACTGTTATTGTATGTAACATTATTGCAAAATAAAGTAGTTAGAAGACTTCTAAAAGTCTTTTTTTTTTTATTGCATGTCTACAGTCACATCAACAGCAATAGCTTGTAAAACTGTACCTCTATTGAGCACATAGGAAAAAAAACACCTTTTTCTTCAGGAGTTCAAACAAAAAAATATGCTTGTCAAAATTTATCGTTACAAAGTAAACAAATTCTAATAAAAACATTTATTGACCAAAATATTTAACATGATATTGTTTAAAATGTGTTAAAAAAAACTCATTCTATAGACCCAGAAAATAAAATCTCAAAACACAGTGATAAAAATATTACCTCATGGGATATATTTCCCAGATTTAAATACAGCTTTGAATATCAAGAAATATCACAGTTTAAAGCAAGACAATGAAAGAAGCAAGTTTATGTATGGACATTGTAGAAACTTGATATTACCCTCCTGCCTGCTTCATGATAACACATCCTCACTGCATGCTTCACAATTACATATCCCACAATGCATGCTGGGATGCTTATAATATGAACTAATCAGGACATACTCTACATTTTTGAAGCACACAAATGATTTGGTGAATATTCCCCCATTGGTAATCCACACCATGGTTTTTATGCACAGGAAACAGTACCACAATACACTCAGAAATATGAAGATGTTATGAGGTATTTTGTATAACACCTGGCCCCTATGACCATATCCTCAATCCACCTACATGTTGTCAATGAGTTCTGAATGTTGATAAGAATATGTCACTTACTTCATAGGTAAACATGTTTCATTTATTAAATTCTAGAAAGTCAAAGCTCAAGCTCAGCTTGATCATTGTATTAAATACAACTCATTCTAATTCTTTATTCGGGAAGAGATAAATGTGTTTTATATACCAGAGTCAACTCAAATGGCAATACACTGTAGCTAAATTTTGTTTTTCCTGATACATTCATTATTTGTATTACTGTAAAACATTCAGGAAATAATCTTAACAAATTTACTGTGGGTAAATGAGTGATGATAGGTTACATTCTTGTTTTCCTATTTGAGTGGTAAAGAGAAGTATTAAATATAATTATACCTCTACTTATTTTTCACTTAATAAGAGTAAATTGATATTTGCTGATTCCCTGAAAATCACCAAAAAAAAAAAATGTTTCCCTGCAAAAAAGGTGCATCAGTTTGATGAACTCGTATACACCTATTTGGAACAACTCAAAATTTCTTTTAATCATATGAAAAGTTCCAATATGCTCCAAATAAAATCATGAATATTCATAAATTAATGCTGCTCAGTTAAAATTACCTACAAGGAGGTAGGGCCTAATAAACAGAATTTTGCTTGTAGATTCATGCATTCTATAGACCATGTATTTAAATACAATGCCTTTCTATTGAATTTATTCATTTATTTTATCTACATTCTGGGTAACCAATAATTCCACTGCACAACTTACAATCGCACTGCGTATATAATAAAATTGCAAAACTTTACGAGTTAACTGGTCTAATTTTTGTATCGATATAATAAAACACGGCTTCACCCCGGGAAATAGGCTTGCTCTTGGGTAACTGAAATCTTGCCGGCTCTCTCAATGATATACTTTAACTGTATACTAACGGTAAAACAGCTTGGTGTTATGCAAGACACTGTTAGTAAATACAACACTGATTTCATCAACAGAAAAACGTCCACTGTCCAAACAGAAATAAAAATGATACCTCTTTCAAAACTGAAAATAAATCATTAAAATTCACACAAGGTAGATTCAGCTTTAAATAAGAACAACTGATGATGATAAAAAAAATTTACTCAGACCAATTTAAAGAAGGAGCCCCTGGTGAGCTAAGAGTTTGTTTTTTTTATAAGTTTGTTTTATTCTCCTTGAAAACTGAATAGGTGTGTACTTGAAAAGTGTTAAGTTACATACCTGAATACATTTTATAAGTGTATATTTATTTATTTAGTACACATATTCCTCCAGTAACCTTCCACAATAAAATCACAGGGAGCATGACTGGTAACATCTAATTTCCTTCTCAATAGACAGATTTAAATGTAAGTTTTAAAATTTTTTGATCAAATGAAAACCTTTACCACAATTATTCAAGTAGTGTGGTTGCTAAAATGAAGGACATATAGTACCAAACTCATGATTCTGTTCTTAAGAAAACTGCTCATGAAGTTTCTGTAATCTGCATTATACAGTAATAATGTACACAGATTTTTTTTATCATATCTTCAAGTCAATAATCTCTTTATTACATTGTTCAACAACATAAATATTGAGGTCACAGTTCATAGTCAGCCTTTTCTTTTTAACCTGAAGCACTGTCATGTAACAAATGCTTTGCCAGGAAAATAAATTGTTAAAGGAAAACTGTGTTCAACTGCTGGCACACAAATAGACAATACATGCATAAACAAAACAAATAACAAAGAAGAATTTAAAAACTGGACAGCTCTACTCCATCATTTTCTTCTCATCTGGAGAAGAGTATTCCAGTTCATCATAGTCAGTTTGGTTCTTGAGATCATCAGATATTTGATCAATATTTAACGGTCCATAAACTAATGGCTGCCCTGAATTCAATGGAATGGATGTTGCTGCTGGTCGAGATCTGTTGTTCGGAGTTTCTCTCAGTAAACTTGATTGGTCCATTGGAATTTTAGGCAAATCAAACTTAACATCTGTACCTGTAAATCAATAAGTCAGATTACACTTTATCTAAGTTAATGTCATGATAATACTGTTAAAGAAGAAATTTTACCTAAAATTATAAGACTCCATGCACTGACTGTAAACAAAGAGCATTTCACTAATAATTTTCCGCAATGAGTCCTATATTATCTACAGAACTTGAAGCATACATCCTCTTTTGTTACAATCCACATATCAATTTGTAGCAGCTTGAACAGCATACCTTGTCTGTTGTAAAACAATATGTAGACATTTTTATAATCCTCACCTTGTCTGTTGTAAAACAATATGTAGGCATTCTTATAATCCTCCTTTTTGGGTGTCTGGTGGGATACAGATTCGTCGTTGTAATAAAACCACTGACCATTCAGAGGATGCTTAGCAAAAGTGGTATAGTGACCTGCATTGGCACCTGTTAAAACAATGAATTGTGTCATTGTGACATTTTTAAATTAATCATACAACAAAACTCAACATAGTTTACTGTTAATTAGAAATATCTATACATGCTAACTTAAAGTCAAATGGAAATTTCTGGGAGCTGTAGACAAACTTTGGTATTGTGAACACTGAAATGTTAAAACCAAAGCAAGATGGTGTGTCTACAGTGTTACTACAGACGAATGTACATGTATTAAGAAGTCTAAAATCTGCAACTTCAACTTTAACATATAGTATCTTGAATCATTCTTAAGTCCATGTCTAAGATTTGACAATCATTGGTGCATATTACATAGTTAAAATTCAAACAACTTTACATGGGAGAAAAATTATCTGTCTCTTGTCATAGTGAAATTCAGCTTACCCCCAAAATGGCAGACAATGCTGTAGAGGTCATAGGTCAAACTTCCTGAGTCAGGTCCTGATGTATACTGGGATAGATTGAGGTCCTCCAGGGGGAATATAACCTCTGCATCTACTTTGTTACTTGATAAGTCATGATACACAAACCTGAAAAAAAATCAGAATCACTTACAAGCCCATGACTTGTTGAGAAATATGTTAACTTTTTAAAATCATTTCTTTTTTCCCTTATTTCTGGTGACAGCAGCAACTTTAATCATGGCCACACTTTTTCAAAATAAGAATAAGATTTACAAATTTAGAGGTACATGTTGTCTAAATTTGTATCAAACTGTCTCTGGTCATTTCTTTCCCATTGCACTTATGACATACAAGAATTACCTTTTAAGGTGTAGAATGAGCGTGTCTGGGTACTGCCAGACAGTTATAGTTTTCTTTGCACACTGGTTCCTTTGGCATCGAGGACAATACCAAGGGTTGTGTTCATCCAGATCTTCACTACATAACACAAGAAGTTGTTTCAATTTTCATTGTTTGTCATGAATTCTTACAAATAGACAGACCTTGATCAAGTCGGACATTACAACAGAAACAGTTAATAAATGTCCAGTGGGCCACATCATTACTTTCAAATCATGCACTGCATGTAAACTAAAACACAAGGTTTACAAATATCTTGATTCATTGATAAATCAGAAATCCATTGGTTTGGACCTGACATAGCTAAAGAAAGGTTAATTTGGGATTGTACTATTTCTATTTTTTTTTAAATTCTTATAAGCTGTGCTTAAGTCACATTCTTGTTCATGGAAAATAATTTTAAAACTCCTATAAACTTAAAGTTCAACAAATTCAATCTACACCATATAAATGGATGATTGATATAAAATACACACTGCAGCCAGGCTGTTTCTTACCTGCAAGTTTTACAGATAGACAAATGGACAAGATTATAGTTTGTCCAATGTGAGTGCTTCCAAAACATTTTAAATATTATAATATCAAATAAATTTTCACTTGCTTTTAATGAAAATATCATTAAACATTACAGTTGAGTTTTAGACAGATTAGATACAAACATGCATGACACAATTTTTCAGTCTACAGAAATTTACATATATATTTCAGCCATTGCTGTCAAGTATACAGGGGAGTTATTATTTCCATAGATTATCTGAGTGTAACATAATTTGATTCGAATTTGTACTGTAGTACTGTTGATGGCAAGCAATGGGAAATGAATCCCTTTCCCAGGTGCTGATCCTTCTTGTAACTTTAAATCCCTTCAGACTTTGAATTTTCTGTTGTATCAATACATGTATACTAGTTGAACTCAAGGGTTCCTACCAATGCAGAAAGTTTGGGGGAAAAAAGATCTAATGATGGAATCTAGTTTGAAATCTCAGGTATTTAATACTTATTTTGAGATATAATGCAAAAAGTGATGATGGTGTTACCATGGGACACAATATAACACTTCTGATCTTTCACAAGTATACTAATTAAGAAAAACAAGAGATTTACCTGTCAGTGAAAGCTTGTAGACAATCGTAAATCGAAAGAGATTTTTCTGGTCGCAGGTTTTCCATTGTTTCATGGTCTAGAAAGCCCTCCAGGTCATTTATACAGGTCTGTGATAGTCCACTCAGACAGACAGACAGACAATCACCTGGGCGCAGGTGTATCTGGGAATCCCTCGAGATGGGACACCCCTGACATTGGTCAGAATACTGGCACCGTGAACAGCGCAATCCCTGTTAAGTCAGACAAATAGCCATTTTGAGGGGTCCTTATTACACACAGTATAACATATTAACAGCAACTTAGTAATAATAAGAATCTCTTCTTATACAAAATCACTATACTGTACAAATTCAAACTGTTACACTTTATAAGGTCTTATTGCTTTACCTAGAATGAAAAAAAAACTTTCTATCTTCAAAATTGCTTTCTTTTTGAGTTCAATTGAAAAACAATTTAAGTCAATTTTTTTTAATCCTACCTGTCCATCTGTTAATACAATAGTACACTGAGCCAACACCGGAAACAAGTTGAGTATACACTCATACAACTGAGCACCGCTCATTGTGTTGTATAAGTAAACAAGTCTAGGGTGTCCTACTAATTTAGCACAAGAACCAACTTCATCTCTTAGGGAGACGGGAACAGCCAACAGCCTGAAAATAAGTATGCAGCCGTAAATTAGAATGGATTAACTGTAGATATTTTGTTCATTCCAAGGAGTAGAGACAAACATTAAACTTCATACCACTTTAATAAATATCATACAATTGTCAACTTCTATGTTGACATTTGCTTGAAAGGACCCATGTCAAATAATAGTGATCCTAGACATAAAGATCAACACAGTCAACACTTACAATGGCACCTTGTTAAATCAAGGTTAATCTAACATAAGATCAATGAATCATTTTTTCTTTAAAAAAATGTTAAATAGTATTACCAAAAAAATCCACTCCTTAAAAATCCATAGCATTATTGGCACTGGGAATAAAAAAGACAGTAATGAACCTGATATCTTCTCCATTCCTCTGACCTTATACATTCTAGTACTATAAATTGATATTCCTTCACCTAACTTTAGACACACCTCACTCTGTCAATTCCACTGGACATTCTTTCATGGATACTCAATCCATAGTTAACACTAACATTAATTCCACTGAACCTTGACAAAATTTACAATGACATCAATTTGAGATTTACACATCCTTCATTACTCACTTTACTGACAGTACACATACTTCACACTAACACACATTCCACTGACAGTACACATACTTCATACTAACACACATTCCACTGACAGTACACACACTTCACACTGAGAGTACACATACTTCTCACTAACACACATTCCACTGACAGTATGCATACTTCATACAGACAAACATTTCACTGACAGTACACATACTTCACAATGACACACATTCCACTGACAGAACACATACTTCACACACATTCCACTGACAGTACACATACTTCACACTTAATCCACTGACAGTACACATATGTCACACATTCCACTGACAGTACACATACTTCACACTGTCACACATTCCACTGACAGTACACATACTTCACACTGTCACACATTCCACAGACAGTACACATACTTCACACTGACACACATTCCACTGACAGTACAAACACTCTCAAACTGACCGTAAATTTTGTGTTGAAGATGATCCTCCATCCACAGGACAGAAGTCTTTAGTCAGAACAGCAGCAGTAGAACACACCTAGTACATATAAAAAGGCTACCGTTAAAACACTATATACTTTATTTAAATTTCAGTGGATTATTGTAAGCTGAAGTAAAGTTGGAGACTTACCGGACAAACATAACTCTCCTCCCCATAGTGCTTAATAGACATCTGTCAATAAAGAATCACACAGTCAGTCAGTGATAACATGTCATTCACAGCATTAGTCATATCTCTGTTTTAATGTACATGATTTTATCCCATGTTTACCCCTTTATCCCATGGATATGACTCATTGGATATTTTTTCCATATCCCACAGTTAAGTGCAGTTGTGACGTCACAATGGTTTTTGCGTTAGCATGATGAATAAAATAAAGTGGAGTCCTATATAAAACAGTGTAAAACATTGATTGTGAAGTATTAAACATGGGATAAATAGAATCTCCCATGATTTGTAGTTGGATATGACTTTTATCCAACTTGTGTGTTTTTATCCCCTAGCCAAGGCTCAGGGATAAAAAACACACAACTCGTTGGATAAAAATCATATCCAACTACAAATCATGGGAGATCCTATATGTATCTGTCTTACTTCAATAATTTTGACTGCATCAATTTCATTAATTCTTTTACAACAGTTTACAAAAAATGAATCAGTGTAAAGTTCCAGCTTTAAAAATATATCAGAATTCTAATCTATCTGAATGATTTGGTTTAACCTAATTTTTTTCTGGCACTTTAAATGTTCATTTAAAATATATACCTTGAATGTGGCTTTATTCTAATGAAGTCATAATGTATATAAACATGTAGAGCATGTATGCCTTTCATACATGTATACATGTAAGTTTCATCAATACTGGCCCAGAAACATACACGTCTTTTGGACCAATGGTTGTTAAAACTTCAATATCAACAGGTCATCTGGACTTATGAAATTCAGTGACCAGAAAAACTAAATATGAATATCCAAAATGATCAGTCTAACTGAATTGAGATGGCCCAACTGACCAATAAAATTGAATTGGGATGGCCCAACTGACCCTCAAAATTGAATTGGGATGGCCCAAGTGAACAGTTAAAATAAATGAGATGGAGATAACTTGAAATAAACTTACAAGTTAACCTGGCCTAACTGAATTAATAGTCAAATTAAATTGCGATGGCTTTACTTACCAGTAAAATTACATTGGGATGGCCCAAATGAGGCATTAAAATGAATTGGAATGGCAAAATGACTAGTATGTGAACTGAGGTGACCAAAATATCCAATTCAAATATTATTTTTAGACCTGTATATACATGTATTAATGCATCAGTAGGCCTAGAAATAGCCTTGTAAGAGTTGTTTTAGTTTGCTATGAAAACTTTAAAACACTGAATGTGTGATGCACATTTAAATTCAGCAGTAGATGGTGGAGAAATTAACATTATCAGTGTTTATGTATGTCCTAAGTCTGAAAAGCTATAGTCCTGATTCCAGTATTCCAACAGACAGATCGGCTCAGATCAGAGTAGCTATGACCCCTGCCTCTAGGTGACAAACAAAGTACCTCACCTCCCACTCTCTTAAACTTGATCTGAAAGAACTAACCTTTAGACAGATTTGACAGAATGTCCCCCACAGACCATGTGACAACTAACCTCCAGATAGATTTGACAGAATGTGTTCCTCCAACCCCCCCCCCCCCCCCCCCCCAGCCCGTTTGACAACTAATCTCTAGACAGATTTGACAGAATGTCCCCCACAGCCCATGTGACAACTAACCTCTTAATAGATTTGACAGAACGTCCCCCCACAGTCCATGTGACAACTAACCTCCAGACAGATTTGACAGAACGTCCCTCCACAGCCTGTGTGAGACAGAAGTTCACTGTCCTCTAGCTCCTCTAAACAAATTGCACAGGACTTCCATTTGTCTGCCACCACAGTAGCTTGTGCTGGTATTGCACCAGAGTCCCAACCTGCACCTGACATGTTTTCACCGGAATCCCAAGTAACACTCTCTGGTAACTGGTCACTTTTCATCAAGGTGTCATCTTCAGGAAAAGAATCATTCTTATTAAGATATCTAATGCATTCTTTTTGGTCACCTGTGTCAAAATGATATCATTCAATACAATAATCAATGAATCTGGAATCAAACCCAGACTAAAATTCAAGGTTAAGATATCAACAAGACATCACTCACAATGGTATGGCTTGACTGCAAAGTATTCACATATATGAATTTTTGATGTGTTCTAGGAATTCTGCCAATCAATTACCAGTTTCAAAGTAAATATTGTCTTACCAACTGGCAGTGTGTGGGTGAGATCCCAACCAGAAGCTGTGTTAGACGTCCCATCCACCTCACAACTTCCGTCCAACCAGCTGGTATTGTGAACCGGGGAACTATGACCTGCCGAAAAATTCTGGTTCCACATACCAGCTCCTGGCACATCCACCATGACCTCATTAAGGCTCTTACGAAGGTCATCAGAATCAGACTGTGTCCATTTACTCACTCCTTGGCTACTGCCCCAGTTGTCAGAAATTTTGGAATCAGTCCACTCCCCTAGAGCTGTGGTACTCTCAAAGTCACCTCCCGTGGAAGCACCCCAAGACTCTGACCCCCTGAGGTGAGATTCACTTTCAGCATCCTTAAACTTTCCGGTTGTATCCGATGACTGCATGTATCTATTTATATCACTGACATCTCGCTTTGAGAATGTGCCCATGCTGCTAAAGATGTCACCCTCTGTGATGAAAAATATTTAAAGAATAATCAAAAAAGAGATTACATAAAAATTCTAAAATCAAAGGAATTACATATTTAGTTACAAATGAAAGTTAAAATATGCACATAAATTTCTCAAAATAAGCCTACAATGAAACTCTGTTTCACCCTTTGTGACTAAATTGAAAAATTGTAATGATTATTAATTTTTTTTAACAATTTCTTAATCTGTAAAAATTGCAAATTAATGTACATGTGTGTAATGGAATACCATGGAATCATTTTTATTCGTGGAGGTCAATGTTCATGGGCAAGCAAAATGTTGGTTTGTGGGGATGTAATTTCGTGGGTAACTTGTATATACAGAAGATTCAATGAATAAATATCTTGACAAAATAATTGTTTGTGGGTATGTAAATTCGTTTATAAGGGTGACCCACGAAATCCATGAACATTGCATGGTCCCCAAGGAACATTGATAATTCAACAGTAATGATACATGCTTACCTTTCCTTTTTTGGTATACATGTATACTTTCCTATCTATTGGTAAACTACGATACATTCCTGATCAGTAAATAAAATCATTATTTAAGACCTTTTTCTGTACATAAAATTATTATCGATAAACTTGATGACTTTTTAACCTTGACATTTGATCAAGTGAGCCAAAAATTTATGTATTTAGTACTACGGGGAAACTTCACCTGAGAATATTTCCAATTGTATAAAACACTAATCTGTACAACTTGTGTGCTTGATTATGTAACAATTTAATGTTTGCTTTATAAACATAAAATTTATGCTACATTTGACTACTGATGGCTTTATATTGGATGTTATAAAGACAGTGATCAATGCTAATTATTGAAGAAATTCTAAAACTTTATATAATTGAGTTTTGAACAACAGAGAGAATTTACAATTTAATGAAGACCCAAGCCAAATTAGTTTCACCAAATGTGGATTTGTTGGTAAACAGATATTAACACCAACAGGCATCATTAAACTACCGCAATATTATCTAACTTGATATGCAAAATCTGAAATAATCTTATTTTTCAAGTAATAAAAAACAAAGAAAATTAATCCACATGAAATTGCTTTGAATAAAATAAAAACGAAATTTTTTCCCAATGAAATTAAATACATCTACAGTATGTGAACTCTGAAATGATGTAGAATCAGTGACTACATATCACCTGTAACAGTGTGTGTAACACTGTATTCTTTAGATTGGTCTTGTAAAGAGGAGAAATCCAGACATTGGGGAGGATCCTGTACATCAATTGTGATGACAGGGCAGGGAGGCATCTCATAGGCATACACCACTCGGGAGGCCTCATTTACATACTGTATCATAACACTGTCCTCCTGTATAGCAAACATACACTTCCATTATAATCAAACAGCAAAAACAACATACAGTTACTGTATCATAGAACTGTCCTCCTGGTTAACAAACATAATCTTCTATTATAATCAGACAGGAAAACAAAAATATATACATAATGTATCAAAACATTGTCCTCCTACATGCCAAACATAGTATTCCATTATAATCAAACAGCAACAACAACTAAATCATGCATGTATGAGGAGCACCCAAGTATAACTAAATCAGTTATTTAATTATGTACCAGAATTCTTGAGATGTGATGATCCAGTGTCTCGGCCATGATGATGTCACTAGTAGGACGACCAATCAGTGTCTTCAGTTCTTCCTTCACTTTGTTTATTTTGTCAGACTTTTGTAGAGTTATAAGGTATCGCATTGGAGATCCTTCCAGAGGGACATAGAGAACACCTGTCAAAATTAATTTAAAATAAATCAAGATGTACTGAGAGCCAGCATTTGTGGTAGGTAGTGTTAAAGGCAAAATAACCAGCATTGTCTGGTAGTGTTTTGCACAGTAATTCAGTGATACTTCTTCACAGCTTAAACATGTGCTGACAAATTTTGTAATCTATGCATATGATCATATAAACAAAATTGAATGTTTGCTTGTAAATCTTGAATCAATTTGTATATATGCAATGTTCAAAATTTTGTACATACATAACTGCCTGTCAGATGCATGTGGCAATGGTACAGAGAGATACATGAAGGGTTCAAAGGTCACTGATACATGGTTACACTCAGAGCAAACCACCTGTAATTAAAAAAAATCACTATATCAAAGAAAAAAAACTGAATATTATGACATGAACTCTTAAAAATGCTTGCTGCTGGATGCTATTGTGAGTGTAAATTCTATTACCTTTTACATTTAACAAAATTATTGTGGATTTGAATTGTCTTGGAACGTTCTGGTAATAATACTCTGATTATAGATGTACTTACTGTTGACTTGCATGTGAACTTGCATGCTCTGACATACTACATGTACTGTGACTGTATACTTACTGTGGACTTGAACTGCCCTTAGAATGTGCTGACAATGATATGGTGACTGTACTTACTGTGGACTTGAACTGCCCTTGGAATGTACTGACAATGATACTGTGACTGTACTTACTGTGGACTTGAACTGCCCTTGGAATGTACTGACAATGATACTGTGACTGTACTTACTGTGGACTTGAACTGCCCTTGGAATGAGCTGACAATCATACTGAGACTACTTACTGTGGACTTGAACTGCCCTTGGAATGTGCTGACAATGATACTGTGACTGTACTTACTTTGGACTTGAACTGCCCTTGGAATGTACTGGCAATGATACTGTGACTGTACTTACTGTGGACTTGAACTGCCCTTGGAATGTGCTGACAATCATATTGTGACTGTACTTACTGTGGACTTGAACTGCCCTTGGAATGTACTGACAATGATACTGTGACTGTACTTACTGTGGACTTGAACTGCCCTTGGAATGTGCTGACAATCATATTGTGACTGTACTTACTGTGGACTTGAACTGCCCTTGGAATGTGCTGACAATGATATGGTGACTGTACTTACTGTGGACTTGAACTGCCCTTGGAATGTACTGACAATGATACTGTGACTGTACTTACTGTGGACTTGAACTGCCCTTGGAATGTACTGACAATGATACTGTGACTGTACTTACTGTGGACTTGAACTGCCCTTGGAATGAGCTGACAATCATACTGAGACTACTTACTGTGGACTTGAACTGCCCTTGGAATGTGCTGACAATGATACTGTGACTGTACTTACTTTGGACTTGAACTGCCCTTGGAATGTACTGGCAATGATACTGTGACTGTACTTACTGTGGACTTGAACTGCCCTTGGAATGTGCTGACAATCATATTGTGACTGTACTTACTGTGGACTTGAACTGCCCTTGGAATGTACTGACAATGATACTGTGACTGTACTTACTGTGGACTTGAACTGCCCTTGGAATGTGCTGACAATCATATTGTGACTGTACTTACTGTGGACTTGAACTGCCCTTGGAATGTGCTGACAATGATACTGTGACTGTACTTACTGTGGACTTGAACTGCCCTTGGAATGTGCTGACAATGATACTGTGACTGTACTTACTGTGGACTTGAACTGCCCTTGGAATGTGCTGACAATGATACTGTGATTGTCCCTGATATAATTCTCCCAGGCTTTCTCTGCTGCTTCTTCCTCAGGATCAACTTGTACTTCCTCATCACGCTCCAGTAGATCCACCTCTGTAGCCTCACTATTCTGAAATCCCCCCTCCTCTTTATCTTCTTCATTATCAGTTGATAAAATGGAATCAGCTGGGCTACCTTCATGTTTAATTTCACATTTAATTTTTTTACAGCTGTTTTCAGACAGCTGAGTTTTCTTTGTCTTCACATTTTTGGAGACTTGTACATCCATACTCTGCACAAAGTCCTCACTGTTTTTCTGCTTCATTTCTCCAGCTGTTCTGAGATGGTCCCCATCTGGAGCAGCACATGGTGGACAGGTGTCTTCTACAAGCAGGTGAGTCCTCCTCATAATACTGTCACACATGTCTTTGTCCAAACTACCCAGAATTCCTAAGTCTTTTATAAGATTTACCCCCTCCTTTCCAAAACTAGCCAGTTTCAAGTTCTGTTCATTAATTTCAAAGTCTTTGTTAATCTTACTCAAAGCTTTGTACTGAAAATTTTTCTCAGTACATTCAAACTTCATTTTCTTTATAATACCATCCCCTTCGGCATCCATTTCACAAGTTTTTTGCATCTTGTTGATTTTCTCAGCTTGGATGTTTGTATTTTTGGGTCCCTTTCTTGTGGCTTCCTCCTTGTTGGGTGATATCGCCACTGCCTCGACAGGGGCATGCATGACTAGCTCATTATCGGCATGGTTATTTAGCTCCTGTTTGGGAAACTTTTCTGAATCTGTTGCTAGGTCTTCTTTTTCAAAATCCTCAGATAAAACATTAGTGTTTAAAGTTTTTGTATCTTTGGCATAAAACTCCTCAATTTTGGGAATTCGTTGCTTCAGATTTGAGGCATTGTTTAAAATTGGTTCTAGTTCATTCATATCTGACTGAGATTTTTCTAAGTCACCACTAGAATCTGTTCTGACAACAGACCTTAAAAGTGAGGGAAGTTCTGACTGGATGACATAGCTGACATTGGCACTGTCCTCATACAAAGGAACAGGAAGGGATCCTGATGATACATCTTGGGTAACCATACTTTCATCATCACTCACACTCTTGGCACTGACAGAGTTATTGAGCTGGTCTTTTTCTGCTGATGCAGACACATTCTGAAGATTGTTTTGAGCTGCCTCTTCTTTACTCTTTAGCTGCTGGTGCAGTGTGTCCAAAAACAGGGCCAAAAACTCCTGACAGTCATGCTGAAACAACATTCATTAAACAACATTTACAAAACTGATATTAGATGAAGCAGTGGGCTTGATATCAACAAAGCATTTTTCTAAATCAATAAATGGAAATACTGGTATTTTCAAATTGCATTATTGTAAAATCCCAAATATGCAAATATTCTTTTTGATTTTGGTATGGATTAAAGAATTATCAGCAAAATCCTCAAATACATGTATCTAAGTAAACTAAAAAGTGTCAATTTTTCCCCCTCTGACTTACATGATATGATTGTCTTTCAAAAAATAGCAAATGACAACTTACACTTGATATACAATTTTAAATAAGGTACTGCTTTCCATGGCATTATGCTGATAATAAATGAAAAAGTGGCCTAAAACTTATGGACCAGGGCTCGACATTAACTTTTTTCCCTACTTGTCCAATCGGACAAGTGACCAAGACATTTACTTGTCTGAACTTCAACTTCACTTGTCCGAAAATTGTTCAATAAAGATACAATATTGTCAACTTGAAAACTAAAATAAAGTCCATTACATGTGATTGATTCGTGATATTATTGATAAATACAACAAATGCATAAAAACAAACTTTTATCTAGTAGACTTTCTATCCTGACAACAACATACACTGTAAATGTTCACAAACATCAAACAGAATCTAAACTTTGTAACTCGATGTAACTTTCATGCCTTTGCAGTAGTATGCAATTAGTGAACTTCGATCCTGATCGAGTGTGAACTCAATTACATAGCATTCCATATTGGGATCGAAGTTTGTTTTTTATGTACTGCTTCTGTCTTTACCGATGAGCTTTCATTTTATTATTTGAAAACTTCTTTACATTAAATTGCACTTGTCCAATCGGACAAGTGCCCAGCAATATTCACTTGTCTGTAATTTTTTTTCACTGGTACCGGACAAGCGTTCATGTCGAGCCCTGTGGACTGGACACATAGTTTTTTTCTGCCAGTGGTCTTACACTTGCCAAAATGACCTTGGTTTAAGGCCTTATTGCACCATAAGGTCATTAGCAGTACATGTATGTGTGTAAAGTATGAGCTTCCAGTTTGTCTCCATTGAAAATTTATTATCTAGACACGATAGCATTGACAGATGGATGCACATAAAGAATTAAAGACAGGCAGTCAAGGTGATTTCTATATACACCCCCAAAACTTCAAGGGGGGGGGGGGGGGGGTATAAAAAAATGAACACCCAAGAACTGTCCAATTATAGATTCTGTTTACTTTATTCTATGAGTATGTAACAATGTAACAGGATTATTTCTAGTACCCAAATGTTGGTATGCTCCACTCAACATACCTGTCTGTAATCCTGAAACTGGACATGAAAAAGGGCAAGGGCATTCTTGAAGTCCCTAGGATATACTATAGTATAACGCCCACTCCAGATTTTGCAGACCAGTTGATGAAAATTAGTGATCAGTGTGTCCTGAGAACAATCTTCAAGTGTAAACTGCTCCAGGAAAAACTTCAGGAGTGGTGTGGTGGACAGCAGACTTTGTAAGCCTTAATCGAAGAAATGCCAGACATCTTTTAAAAACATACAAACATCAGAGTACCGGTAAAGTACCATTTGCGAGATTCAATGATATTTCCTAATAATATATTGAAAAGTTTTATAACCAGAGTGCCAGAAACAATGGGTAAGAATTGTATGAGACTCAGCACTGTCTTGTACCTGCATTCATGAAACAGGTGTTTCCTAGGTTGTACAGTCCACATTGTCCTGGGGTAGCGTAGGGATCTAAAAATTAAAACATGCAAAGTGTTTGAATATGGAGAGAATGACTTTCAAATAAAGATCAAATTATCTCTTTATTACACATAACAGCAAAACAGATTTAAATGGAAACTAGTCCCAACAATTATATGGTCCACAATTTTGTATTTTAGGACTTGATCTTAACAAATGAATCTGAAAATTGGGAATTATATAATTTTTTATCATTTAACATTGTTTTGATGTACATTAACTAACCGGTGACATCTTTAGAATAGTAGGAGGGTACAATGATAGAGCTGGGGGCCACCTCCATTGAAGATCCAGCTGCCGCGGCCGCGCTCTCCCCCGAATCCTCCATTTCTAGCAAAATCAAATGAAAATGTAGGTCAATCTAACAACGTTAGGAAAGTTTTTTAAACATATATCTATATTACTCTGTTCTGAAAATTATCCATTTCCGTATGAATTTTTTGATGAGGTCAACAAGATTCCCCAGATACTGACCACACGTATCATAAATAGTTCAATAAAACAAACCTTTGACCTTTGACTTTTGATAAAAATTCATAAGGATCATTTGCTTAGCATGACAAACCAACATTCAACTTAATACAGATGACAAGCAGCATTACAAATAAATGATTCTTAAGATATATGAAAAAATAGGGATTGCGTAAATCAGTAAAATGTGATTATAATATCTAAATATTCTAGATACAGTCAATGGAGCCAAGAAAAAACATCTAGACTTAAAAGGATTCGAGATATCAATTTAGGCTAAAACACATAAAGAAAAAGTGATTGGGACTTCCAGCTCACTTTGAAATATCCAATGTATTCAAGATATCAATTAATGTTTAAAATATACTAAAGTTCAACTGTATTTCTTTCATCATCTGATCATGAGAATCAGACATTTTTTTTCAAATAGTGGAATCTTTTAAATAAATCTCTGTAAAACTCTCTTTTTGTTTTAAGTATGAGTATGTGATATAAATAGACCCAAACCTTCAGTGTGGGCTATAGTAGCAGACTCAGAATTTTCCATTGCTGAATAGTTTCTTTTCAGCTTTCTCTTTGGTTCACATATGCACATGTATAGTCTTCAGGTTCCTAAAAAACAATGGTGCTACAGTGGTTGATATTCAGATGTACAAAATATTTATTAATATTCTGGCCTGTTTCTTCATCAGCATTATGAAAAAAATCAACATATTTCCATGAATTCAACAATGCGATCCTGTTTCATCATAGGAAATTACAGGTCATGAGACCCAGGATGTTTCTCTAGGATGTTAAAGCACCTGGACTTAATGTCTCTGTAAGAATGCCAGAAAGAAATGCAGCTTTTGTTTTCATGCAAGGTGGTTGAAGGCCTAGTTTTAGCTATCCCTCTGGGCTATTTAGACCATGTTAAAACAATGCAATCAGGACAATTTTACATTTCAGTTTTGAGAAAATATCACTATCTATAACATTTTTCTCGGAAACTTTCAATATGTTGGCATATAATGAAAGTGAAATTATGCGACAGAGGAAATTCGAGTTGATATCGCTGAAAACACATTTACGTTAGAGAAATGCACGAGAATAATTACAATTAACCGTTTTCATGACAATAATTACATTGCAGTTCGTTTCTGACGACGTTTTGTCTAAAGGTTTACCTTCCTTTTCGAAGTCTTGACACCGGAAATATAAATCACGTGACTCCTCCAGTGTTCCAGCCTATCTCGGGTTCAAAAGCATATTTGAAGTAAAGAACTAATCCTGTATTCCAAGGTACATGCTATCTGTATACTTTACTGAACACGTAAAACAAGTTAAGTTAAAACCTTTTTTCTTAAAATTTTAAAACTAGCCCGTTGACTTGGTTGATATATGTCACTGCTCGGACTCGATATTACCGATATCCAACCGGAAGTGATATTTTCGTCAACAGTCACAGCTCAGCGAAGTAAAACGCAAAAACCATAGATCATAAAGGTAGGTTCTTATCGAGAGAATAACTTCCAATACGTATTGGGCAGGAAGTTTTTCTTATAATTCTCTGAAAAGATTGATAATTTCAGTCACCAAAGGTTATTTTTAACTGTTTTGAATTAAAACTGATCAGTAATGAAATACACATTAACATGATTAAGGAGATAGCACATCTTAAATAACTACCTTATCAAAAAAAAAAAAAAAAAAATACAAAGACAACTATATTTTAACATGTTAGTTTTACAGTCTTTAAAAGTTTGAATTTGAAGTGTACTTTGTAAAGACAGTGAGACATGAACTTCCAATTTGGTAATTAATAAAACACCTAGTTTTTATCAAGTTTATGCAATAAATGATTTACAAGACTTTTTTGATAGACTTTTTAAAGAATCCAATATATTGCATATCGCTGTATAAAATACAGGTAACTCTTGATGGCTCGAACATCGATCTCTCGAAGTTCTTGATCGCTCGAAGTGAGTCTCAGGTCCCGAATTTTCCCCCTGTATAACTACATGTAAGCAAATTTACTCTTGATTTCTCGAACTCTTGATCTCTCGAAACCCTTGATCCCTCTAAGTCAAAATGCAGTCCCTCTATGTATTTTCTGGACATTTAAGTGGCCCCAGGCAGAAGGCGTGGTACTCAAGGAATGGGATGTTTTTTTCAGGTGACACTTATACTGCAAGGTGATAATTGATTTAAATAATTAATCATATTTTGCCTATCTGCTATAAAGATAATTAACATCGAATGTCTTACGATAATTTAGAGATGCAGCGAAAAATAAATTACAAAATGAGACACTAATTTTATTTTTATTGAAAAAATGAAAAGTTGGAAACTGCATAACAGCTTCAATCTCAATATTACAACTATTGCTGGACAAATACTTACAGATCATGTTTGGTATCAACACGTACAAAAAGTCAATGCTATGTACGACGCTGTAAAATGTTGTTTTCATTTAACAAATGCGTAGTATGATGTTCGTATTACATAGTCTAAATATACGTGAAATGACGATATACATTTTTTGCTTTACTCAGTTTAATAAAATATTCACCAAAAAACGCGAAAAAACATCGTTGTTTTATAAAAAACACGTGTAAAAAGTTAGCACTGCATGGAAATGAAGGAAAATCATTACATCCGGTAAAACTAATTTTAAAAACCTGTCAACCAACCCGGAAAATTCCGGACTCTTGAAAACTCGAACTCTTGATCTCTCGAAGTTTTTCCTTGGTTCCGTGGACTTCGAGGTATTGAATGAGTGTTACCTGTATTGTATCATATCGAAATATTTTGCTCAACCAAACAGGGGTTCAATCACATTTGGTGATAAGTGCCCAACCTGTTAATACCACCAAAGACTCTTAATTGACCAAATGCTTCATTAACAAGATCAGGTTCTAAATGTGTACAACATTTGGAAGCCATTCTTTTCATGCATTTACAACACCAAACTTTATATTGATGTATGCTGTCATAACATTACATAATCTAGGTCCTTGTGATGCTTTACAAAGTTTATCATTGTATTATATGATATTACAATATAAACTGAAGCTTTTTAGGGGGTACACTGGCTCCCCCTGGGGAGCAGATGACCCTTGTTAATTTTTGGTCACAAGGTTAAAGGTCACACAACATTGATATGTACTAGACCACGGAAGATATTGTCAGTTCAGTATCTTGAGAACCATTGGCTTTAATACAGACATCAAATTTGGTACACTGGTACCTTCTAAGAAGTAAATTACCACTAATGATAATGAGGTTTAATCATGTTAATATAGATCAAACTTAGTATTATGTTTGCCCCTGACTAGTAGATGACCAATTGTTTTCATTTATATCATTACAGACAATATAAATTTGAAGTTGTTCCCTTTTTAGCTCATCTGAGCCAAAAGCTCAAGTGAGCTTTTCTGATCAAAATTTGTCTGTTGTCTGTCATCGTTGGCATTGGTGTCACTGTCGTTGTAAACTTTTCACTTTTTCATCTTCTTCTCCAGAACTACTGGGCTAATTTCAACCAAACTTGACACACAGTATCCTTGGGTGAAGGGGATTCAAGTTTGTTCAAATGAAGGGCCATGCCTTCTTCCAAGGGGAGATAATTGCGAATTCATGAAAAATTTATGGCATCTTTCAAAAATCTTCTTCTCAAGAACCACTGTGGTAGAAAATATGAAACTTACGTGGAAGTATCCTCAGGGAGTGTAGACTCAAGTTTGTTCAAATCATGACCCCCAGGGGTAGGGTGGGGCCACAGTGGGCGATCAAAGTTTTACATAGGAATACATTGGGAAAATCTTTAAAAATCTTCTTCTCAAGAACAGCAAAGCCTTGATTGGTCATATTTATATGGAAGCATCCTCAGGTAGTGTAGATTCAAGTTTGTTCAAATCATGACCCTCAGGGGTAGGATGGGGCCACAATGGACGATCAAAGTTTTACATAGGAATATATAGGGAAAATCTTTAAAAATCTTCTTCTCTAGAACAGCTCAACCATAATTGGTCATATTTATATGAAAGCATCCTCAGGTAGTGTAGATTCAAGTTTGATCAATTCATGACCCTCAGGGGTAGGTAAGGACCACAATGAAAGTTTAAACTTGTAGGAAAAAAGTCACAGTCAAAAAAATATGTAAGCATCCTTAGTTAGTGTAGATTCAATTTTGTTCAAATCATACCCCCCTCCCCCCCCCCCCCCCCCCCCTCCCTTTAAGGGGAAGGTCGGGGCCACTTATGCATTTAAGCATTGCAATACTAAACTGATTTTTGCTTTTTTCCTAGCCACAGTGCTCAGGTGAGCGATGTGGCCCCTGGGCCTCTTGTTAATATTGCCACATGGGATGGGATGGAGCACATATTTTTGCTTTGAAATGTGCAAAAAATAGTGTTTCCTTATATAATCCTATAGAAAGGTAGATAATTCAGCTATGTACACTCTGCTGTACAGTTTATCAGTCATGCTTCTTTTCAGTGATATGTTTTACCTTGATCTATTTACATTGTCTGTTACAATACCACTTTACCTATATGTGACATATATTCTGATGTGACACTGCAGAGAGTGTTATCTTAAACGTATCAAACTGGTACCTCATAATTCACAAAGTGACCTGCCATCACATACGTGAAACACAGCAGACATTGATTCAGTCAGCATTGTTTTAGTGATTATCATTATAATGTAAGTATATAGAGTGTTCTATATATCATTTTGCTATATTTCATGGCTAGAGTTGCTCTAAAAAAATTGAAGAAAAAAAAATGTCACCATTTGAAATCTGAGACCTGTTGAAATGTGTACAACAGTGAATGATTTAGGATTATACTCGGACATCTCTGAGATAGAGCAGGGCATACTTGTATTAATATTGATTTTTGTATAATTTGATTTTTCAGTGGTTTATATGATGGATTTTCAAATGTGTTTTTATATAGAAAAACTGTGCTAGAAACAGTACATTGTAATGTATATATACAGTGTTTGTTCTTTGGTGGAGATTATTTACAAGCCATATTTTTTACATTTCATTTTGCTTTTAATGTTTTTGATGCTATAGAAAGTGAAGAGAATTAACTGTATATTAAGAGTATCTTAATATTCTGATACCTTTGATTTAGTAAAAGAAGCCCTATTATATTAATATATAAAATGACAATTATTTAAGAAAAATAGGGTTAGTGTATGGAAATAGAGTTAATTTGATACACTATAATATGTTTATATGATGATTCAGGTAGGGTTAATAGTAGATAATGTGGTAAGTTAATGTAAATGTTAATGTAAATGTAAAATGTTGGTTGTTCTACATTGCAACACATATGGCTAAATAGTACAAAAAGACAACATTGCCTTTTGGTGTTACATAATAAAATTTAGGAATGACTCAGATTAAGGTAGCAGTGTACGTGATTTGAGACATATAAATGAGATGTTAATTTAGTCGGTGATAGCTCTAATTAAATTTGGAAAGTCAGTAAGTTGACAGACTTATTAAGGAATGACATGATTTTTTCCTGAATTGACTGTTATAAATAGGAGGGTTTCTTGAATAATTGTGCCAAAAATAATGACAAAAAATTTCTTCATGCAGGAAGTTTATCTTTTGGTATATATAGTATATGATTCATCTGTATGCATTTTTCTTTTGCAGACCTTCTAATAGCTATTGATTAACCATGACAACTCATGTCTCCAAGTCGAGCCAGGCCACCCAGGAAAAGAGGCCCCTGGAGGAGAGCCTTAGTAATGGGGTGTCGGATATTGAGGTCTGGAAACGAGAACCCAGTCACAGGTAATCAAGTGGAGATATAGTGGTAGCTCTGCTGTTTTGAAGCAATGAGATGGTACAGTGGGGAATATTGCTGCACCGTTTTAATGAATGTAGCTACACTACACCGCATGTAGCCACTAGGGTATATACTGGGTAATTGAATCAATTTGGAAATTACAACTCTATTGTGTAGAGGATTGTTTGCTGTGCTGTACATGCTGGGTAAAATAAGCTATACTGTGTTTTGAGGAATATACATGTAGCTGAATTGAGTATAGTTGTACTATGTTCATTATTAGGCGGACTGAGTTGAGGTCAGCTTAGCTGTACTGTGTTACAGAGTATAGCTGTATTTCGTTGAGGAATATAGCTATGCTGTGTTGAGGAGTAAAGGTGTACTTTGTTGAGGAATATAACTGTGTTATATTTAGGTATTTAGTTTTACTTTGTTGAGGAATATAGCTATGTTTTGCTGAGAAGTATAGCTGTACTTTGTTGAGGAATATAGCTATGCTGTGTTGAGAAGTATAGCTGTACTTTGTTAAGGAATATAGCTATGCTGTGTTGAGAAGTATCGCTTTAATTTGTTGAGGAATATATTACATCATTGTTGAGGAATATAGCTATGCTGTTTTGAGGAATATAACTACTTTGTTGAGGAATAAAAATATGTTGTGTTTAGGTATATATACCTGTTCTTTGTTAAGGAATATAGCTTTGCTGTTTTGAGGAGTATAGCTGTACTTTGTTGAGGAATATATTACATCATTGAGGAAAGCATAGCTGTATGATATATTGTTTGAGCAATACAGGTGTTTTGAAATGAGGATATTATGGTTATACCATGCTGGGAAAATTTGTGTTCAAGAGTTACATATTAACGTTTCATATAAAAATAAAATTCAGTATTTCAATATATCTAGTTTAAATACATGGATGCAGATTATCTACATTGCCAGTTATAGTTATAGAGACAGTTTCCCCCATATGTGTAATTTATCAACATGATACTTATCACTGTGTGGAATGTTTGTATTCCACCTTGGTTGTAAACTTGTGTTGAATAAGCTGTTTGATGAATTTTAAATGAATGTTCATGCAAGGAGAGTTTAAACCACTCCTGTTTGTAGTCAGAACATTACAATGTCATCAGAACATTAGGTTAACTATATAAAGGGATTCCACCTACTCTTTGTAATATTACCTTGATCAGTAAAGATGATAGACCACAAAAGGTGACTATAATGTCAATAAATCACTTATTTTTTATGGCAAAGGTTTCTAAATTGCACTGTTAGTTTAAATTGTTATGAATGTTTAATTAACCAAAAATATACTAGTAATGAATTTTTAAAAATATCAAGTTGAATTTAAAGAAATTATCCAAAAATTAATCTTTGTAAAGTTTGATTTCACAGATTTATCTGAGGATTAATTTGGATAGGTTATTGACCTTTTTGTTTTTGTTTTGTTTTCAGAGTGTTTGTAAACAGAAGTTTGAATCTAGACAAGATCAAGTTCTTTGGTTTTGATATGGATTACACACTTGCAGGTTTGAATCTCAGGAAATGGGCTTTCAGTTTTTCATTTCCTTACCTCACATGCATTGAAATACTATATACTAGTACATGTAGAACATCGAAATGCTGTACCTGAATTGTTGCTCTATTCTAGTATGTGATGAAATAACAAGGATCGAGTGAATTTAAATCCCCTTGCAAACAAAGTTTGGGAAAGTGAGCATGTGTGTGTGTGTGTGTGTTGAAAGGGGGGGGGGGGGGTGGAGTAGCTAGATAGGAATTACGTTGCTTTATGTGTCTATAAGTTTTTATGCAATCTGTGCCATTACTTTGTATATTGGAAGCTCACACAAAGGTCTCTTGACATTCAAAGCCCTCATGCAAGGTCTTTTAGAGCAAATTAAAAGTCACTATAGTAGGAAAAAAGTTATTTGCTTGGCATGTGATATGATCTTGATATAAAGTCATGGCAAGTTGCAAGTTCTAGGGCACTACTACCAAGTGCCTATGTGTGTGTCGAAATTGTGTTCAGGACAAAATTTGGTGATGAAAACACTTAAGACACTAGTATTCAAAGACTGTATATGGCAGATGTTTCATGGCCTTGACCAAGTATCATTTAGGCAAGTTCAGGGTCAACTGCAGTACAGGTGCTATCTTTGTATTAGGGCTTTACCCAAGAATGTTTGAATGCACAAAAAATTCAAAAATTGACTATACTTGTAGAATATATCAGGATCCTGATTCAAGGTCAATTGGACAAATTCAGTGTCACTGACAGGCAAAACACTGCTTTCTTTTTTTTACCTTGAAACAGTAGTAGTGAACGGTTGAAAGTTCTTTTTAACCTAAAAATAGAATGGCCATGAATTGAACTTCTCTTTGTACAAGGTGAAAGTAAGTTAAGGAGAAAAAAGAATAAAGTGTAACAGGTGATGATATCATTTTAATATCTGGCTCATGGTAATAACTTTCTAGGTATGAGTTGTATATATACATGTAGACTTAACTGCTCTCTCTCTCTCTCTTTATAACAGTGTATAAATCCCCTCAATATGAGACAATGGGATTCAACATGTTGAAAGAACGTTTGATAACTATTGGTTATCCAGCAAACATCAAAGAATTTGAATATGACCCCAAATTTCCTTGCAGGTAAATAGTTTTCAGTAGTCCTATATGCATATTAAAATGTACCCACTGTACATTGCATACTTTGGAATCATCATTGTTCATGGAGGATCAATGTTCATAGGTCACCTTTACCCACAAATTTATATCAGTACAAATGATAACTTTGTCAATGTATCTGTTCATTGAATCTTTTGAATATCAAAGTTACCCACCAATAAAATTTTGGTTGCCCATGAACATGGACCCCCATGAATTAAAATGATCCCACAATATTTGATATGTAACAAACAAGATAGACATAGCATTATATTGTCTACCATTACTGGAAATAAAAAAGTTTAATTGAAGCATAATTTTTTAAAATTCTTTAGAAATCTCATCATTCGATAAGTTTGATATTGGATGGGTAAAAAATGAAAATTTGTATAAGACTGTAGTCTTTAAAATATTTTCTGATTTCTCTGCTGTTTATCATTGTATCATGTTTAGAAATTATTAAAATGAGGGAAAGAAGAGTATGATATAAAGTTCAAGAGCAAAAGTTAACAAGGATGCTAGAACTCTTCAAAATTTCATTTTAAAATATATATAAAGTAATGACTTATTAAAACACCACTAAAAGAGCAAGGGCCACATAGGGCCTTTTTAGGCCCTGTGAGTTTCTGAAAAATCGAAACTGCTCAGTTTTGGTTGACAATGGTATTTATCACTTGGACCCTTGGTGACCGTGTATCTATTGAACATGATGTAATTTTCTCCATAGTCAGTGCATTATGACGTCATGGAATTCGTCATTTTTACTATATCCTGTAAATTCCTTTAAAAATGGCCAAAAGTTGGAGTATTTTTTCAATATTTCATATAGAGCACAACCTCTGATCCAAAATATGCAATTATGTAATGAAAGGTCTGTTTCCTAAGATCATAAAACATGTTTTAATTTTTGGATCAAGGGCTGTGCTCATATTTTACTTCTTTGTTGAATGTATTCAAATATGCCTGTTTTCTGCAAAATTCAAGAACATTGCATTTTCACAAAATCTGTTTTCCAATACCTGAATTCTCAAAAAGAAATTGAGTTATAGGAAATGAGACCTCTACGTCTCTACTTTATTTTGATATATGAAATGGGACAGAGGGTGAATACCATGATAATCAATTAATTGATACAAGAACAGGGCCATTTTATGCATAAAGTGAACCTAGTATTTTGTTGGACTAATTTGTAATCAAAAACGTACAGTGAAAAATCTTATACGTAACATCAATTAAGAGAAGGTGAATATTTCTTTCATGAATATTTTTTTCAGGGGACTGTGGTTCGACAAACAATTTGGAAACCTGCTGAAAGTGGATGCATATGGAAACATTTTGGTCTGCGTACATGGCTTCAAATTTCTGAAAGGGTGAGTAAAAAGACTCATAATTTTCCAAATTCTTTGATGAATTTTAAAGTGGTTAATCGTTAACCACATGAAGCAGGATTTGTAATCACCTAGCTGTTTGCTTGTCCCACCCTTTGTCTTTGATAAAAAGCATTAGATTTGCATATTATTCTAGGTTGTGTCATATGACTGAATTAAAAGGCATTTTGAAAACTATCAAGGCCATAGCTTTTATTTATAATACTTTGGTTATGTTAACTCAAGTTTTAAAATCAATTAGATTTTTTTTAATATTAAGAATCATAATGATATTTTTAGAAAATATCAGGAGCATAATGCAGTTATGCACTCTCTGAATTATGACCTACTTTAAGCCCCCCCCCCCCCCCCTTTGCTCAAAATAAGGGTATTAGTTGAGTTTGTTGATGTTTGACTTGTTAGTTGAATGCCTATGACAGGATGCATGGTGAAACACACCAGACTCTTTATTGTCTGTTTCCATTCTAGTGAGTATGTTTTCATTTCTTCAGTGATTATTCAAGGATGAATTTTATTGGTCCCATTGAGTTTTATTTATTCTTGATTATTTCTGTTTAAACTGCAAATGTGGATATTTTTTCAGAGTAAAATTTTGCAAGTTCCATGAAACAAAGCCTTAAACCATTCACTTGTTATTAATTCCGGATACTTTACTGATGCACAATTCACAATTTTTTTTTCTATGAGAAAATGTCCACATTTACAGTATTGGTTAAGATTATGAGTGATGAAATACATCATCATTTTATTTAATGATTGGTTAGGCCATCTTAAATGAATTCTACATTTTACATCAGAATTATGTTCAAACACCTTTGAGAAGACAAAAATTAACACACTTTCAAACAGAATGCTACTTGAATTAAATTCACTTTTCTGAGTTAATAAACATATAAGAAACAAAATAATAATTTATTAAATATTTTGTTACTCACATCAAAAGTTTATAAAAATTTCACTATTAATTTATCAACAGGTGCCAGTCAAATTGAAAAAAAAAACAGTATTTGTTTTTTTTTTCTTTAAAAATGTAATCTAAGCAGAAGTCAATGCATGCAGATGATGTAGAACGTGGGATTTATTCAGGACAGCCTTATAGCAATATTTGATGTTGTAACTTAAACATATTTATTTTACTTCAGAATGAAATACAGGTATATATATATATATATATATATATATATATATATATATATATTGAATTCATTCATGAAAGGGAATAAACTTGGACATTCAGGTCATTATTAAGGAAGTTTTTACAGTCTGCCATTAGCAATGGGAAACTGAATTCAAACATGTATTTCAATCGTGAAGTAAATATATGTTACACAAACTCGTAAATGAGTTGTTTTAACATTGATTTAGACATACTTATTACTTATCATAATGTATAAGATTATCATCAGAGGAGTAGTTTATAGTTAGATTTTGTTGTAATATTGTTTTTCCATTCTGTTTTCAGGTCAGAAATAGGAGAATTATATCCCAACAAGTACATCAACCTGGATGAGAAGAGAGTCTATGTTCTCAACACGTTATTTCACCTCCCAGGTATTATAATAGTCACATTGAAGCTGATCATCATTTTGTTGAAATATTCGCTCTGAAAAAAATTGTCAAAGTAAATACACGTAGTATTTTTAATAGTGAAAAATAACTGTGTTTTCTGTACCTGTGATAGCAGTTTACATCCAGGACTCTCTCATTAGATACATAAGTTTTATATAGGGTAGATCATTAATCTAAATTGTTCTGTTTACAGAAACCTACATGCTTGCCTGCCTGATTGATTACTTCACAACCAGTACAGAATTTGAGAGGTAGGTTTTCCTTACTACATTGTTTATTTCTTACATACATCACATGAATCAAGGGACACAAGGTAGTTAGCACTGCAGAGTTACTCTTCCTGATCTCGGAGCTAGAGACCTACCAAGTATTAATATATTAAACCTTCTCAGTGATTGATGTATTTCCAAAATTCTCCAAATTTCTGATTCCCATCAATGTCAAGTGGCAGGGTATAATAAAAATGTTGCCTATATCTATTCTCTGGCAATAATAGATATTGGATTAAAGAAAATTATGTAATGAAATTCATTTTTCATTCAGTCTTTTGATAAAGTTTTTAATAGATGTAATTCATGTCAAAACTTGGTACATTGATCTAGCTCGAGGGAAAATATCTCGGTATTCTTAAAGACTCTGCAGTGCTGTTATACTGTTCATTAGCATTGATCACCTTTGGACAGCTGGGACGATTTTTTTCCCCTATTTGACAGGTAGACGGAGCAGACACCCCCTGGGTGCCTCACGGCTGTCAAACGTGTCCCTCAAGTAAGGGCAGTTAAGTATGTCTAGGTAAGGATCTTCAGAGAAAAGTGTTAAAGATTTCTGTTATAATTCATCTTTGGAAATGTTTAAACCACCCCAAACAAGTTTATATAGTTCTTCACTTTTGACCCAGATGAAAAGTTGTTACTTCAAACATTTGCTGCTTGCATGTGTACAAGAAAAATTTCTATTCTTCCTAAAGTATAAAAGCATCATTTGATTTCAGAAAATATGTTTAAAGGAATAGTGTACTATTTTACTTCTATTTGTGGTACCATGTAGGCTGGAAATGTTTATATAATTGACACGAATGTTAATGAGATTTGTAAACCCATGATAAAGTGTGACACAGTCCCTGAGAGAGTGTATCTCACTATAACTATAAGATTGTCATTAGGTTCAGGTATGCATGCCCTAAGATCACTGCATGAACTGATGTCTAGATCCTGCATTCTTCTGTTTGTCAATATAAAAAATGTTCAAAATTGATGAAAATCTCACAAAATGTGGATTATTACTAATTTTTTTGTAAGCTTTAGATTAAGGTGAAGGTATTTTTTAATCGGCATCATTGGCAACTCTCGATTTAATTGCTTTATGACTAAAACTTCTGGACTCAGTTTACATACAAATTTGTATGATCCTTTTAACCTGAAAAGTTGTTCATTTAGATCAACTACTAGATGCATATAATTTAAAATAGCCTCAAAAATATGCTTATGGCTGACAATGCCTACAATGTCATGTAAATTTTACGAAAAATTAAACTAGTGAAAAATATAAATTTTCAGAATTACTTTAAAATTGAAGTAAAGGACAGTTAATGGCTTAGCTGTACACTATCCAAATACTGTCTCCTTTGCTTTTTAACCACATGTGCTTTCACATGTCTGATAATAGATATTTCCTTACATGGTCAGTAATAAAGGCTGTGTTACTCTGTATTACAGGTCAACAGAGGGGGTGAGGTGTGGGGAGCTGTATATGTCCTACAAGTCGATATTCCAAGATGTCAGGTCTGCGGTAGACTGGGTCCATTTCTATGTAAGTAATTTCAGTGTATACATGATTATAGCTATACATGAAGACTAGGTCCATTTCTATGTAAGTTATTTAATGTTTATACATGTAGCTACACATGAAGACTAGGTCCATTTCTACGTAAGTTAATTATTTAATGTTTATAGCTACTCATGAAGACTAGGTCCATTTCTATGTAAGTTATTTAATGTTTATAGCTACACATGAAGACTAGGTCCATTTCTATGTAAGTTATTTAATGTTTATAGCTACACATGAAGACTAGGTCCATTTCTATGTAAGTTATTTAATGTTTATAGCTACACATGAAGACTTATATAGGTCCATTTCTATGTAAGTTATTTAATGTTTATAGCTACACAGGACTAGATCCGTTTCTATGTAAGTTATTAATGTTTATAGCTACACAGGACTAGATCCATTTCTATGTCAACTATCTCAACATATGTATTGCTAACTATGTGAACTATTCATTCAGTATAAGTTAGCTTATTCCATATATATCATGTTGCCTGTAAAGCCACATATTGTTGCACATGGAAAGATTACTTCATTTTCAGCCGACACTAATTAATTATAATTATCATGGAATAATCAGTGTATTAAAGCAATATGCGCTGCAACTTTGATGTCCGAAATTTTTGTTGCAAAATTGTAATTAACTATTTCAATGACAGAAAAAAACACATTTTAATAGCAAAAGAAAATTCTCAAAAATGCAGCTCATATTGCTTTAAATATTCACCTCATTAATTACATCTAATGAATTACATCATATTTAATTCAGTATCTTTATGACCTGCTTTCTTATCAAAGGGAAACTTGAAAACGGACACTCTGGCCAATTTGGAGGAGTATGTTCACAAAGACCCAAGATTGCCTATTCTACTTGACAGGTAAGCTTGACCTCTAAGACTGCCTATTGTACTGGGCAGGTAAGCTTGACCTCTAAGACCGCCTATCCTACTTAGTAGGTTAGCTTGACCTCTAAGACTGCCTATTGTACTGGGCAGGTAAGCTTGACCTCAAAGACTGCCTGTTGTATTGGGCAGGTAAGCTTGACCTCTAAGACCACCTATCCTACTGGGCAGGTAAACTTGACCTCTAAGACTTCCTATTGTACTGGGCAGGTTAGCTTTACCTCTAAGACTGCTTATTGTACTGGGCAGGTAAGTTTAACCTCTAAGACTTCCTATTGTACTGGGCAGGTTAGCTTGACCTCTAAGACTGTCTATTGTACTGGAAAGGTAAGCTTGACCTCTAAGACTGTTTATTGTACTGGATAGGTAAGCTTGACCTCTAAGACTGCCGATTGTACTGGACCTCTAAATTGCTTATTTTACTGGACAGTTGACAGACATCAGCACAAATTAGCAAAACTTCTTTGCATTTTTCTCAGCTGTAGACTTCAGAAGCACGTCTCAGCTAGGTGATTACAATGCTCAATATTTTAATATAATACACTTGTAAGAGTTAAGATTCTTCTCTGTTCTATGTATTTTTACTTTATGTGATGGTGTAAATTCCTTATTAAACATTAAGACAAGGAGAATTTAAGATATCAAACTATTTGTAGATAATTAAATGATTGGCTTTTTAGCTCACCTGAGCCAAAGGCTCAAGTGAGCTTTTCTGATCAAAATTTGTCCGTTGTCCGTCGTTGTTGTTGTCGTTGTCGTTGTTGTTGTAAACTTTTCACATTTTCATCTTCTTCTCAAGAACCACTGGGCCAAATTCAACCAAACTTGCCACAAAGTATCCTTGGGTGAAGGGGATTCAAGTTTGTTCAAATGAAGGGCCACGCCCTCTTTCAAGGGGAGATAATTAGGAATTAGTGAAAAAATAATGGCATCATTTAAAAATCTTCTTCTCAAGAACCAATGGGCCAGGAAAAATGAAACTTATGTGGAAACATCCTCAGGTAGTGTAGATTCAAGTTTGTTCAAATCATGACCCCCCGGGGGTAAGTGTGGCCACAATGGGGGATCAAAGATTTACATAGAAATATATAGGAAAATATCTTTAAAAATCTTCTTCTTAAGAACAGCAAAGCCATGATTGGTCATATTTATATGGAAGCATCCTCAGGTAGTGTAGATTCAAGCTTGTTCAAATCATGACCCCTGGGGGTAGGGTGGGGCCACAATGGGGGGGTCAAAGTTTTACATAGAAATATATAGGAAAATATCTTTAAAAATCTTCTTCTCAAGATAAGCAAAGACATGATAGGTCATATTTATATGGAAGCATCCTCAGGTAATGTAGATTCAAGTTTGTTCAAATCATGACCACCCAGAGGTAGGTTTGGGGCCACAATGAGTGATCAAAGTTTACAGAGGAATATATAGGAAAAAATCTTTCTCTCAAGAACAGAAAAGCCATGATTAGTCAAATTGATATGGAAGCATCGTTGGGTAGTATAAAATGAAATTTGTTGAAATGAGCGCCCCCAGGGGTAGGGTGGGGCCACAATGGGGGATCAAATTTTTACAAATGAATATATGGGAAAAAATCTTCTGCTCAAGAACAGCAAAGTCATTTGTTATATTGATATAAAAGCATTGTTAGGTAGTTTAAAATCCCCCATCCCCCCCCCCCCCTCCCCCGTTAACTTTTCAATACTAAACTGATTTTTGCTTTTTTTTCCTAGCCAATGTGCTCAGGTGAGTGATGTGGCCCATGGGCCTCTTGTGATTTTTTTTCTTCTTTTTTTCCATTTTGAGTAAAACAAAGTCAAAACTAGAAATCAACACATCAAGGTTTTATTTTCTGATAATGTTCTTCAGTTGGGTCTGTACTTATTATTAAAATCAAATAGACATATAAGTCAATAATAGAAATAGTATGAGAATGCACAAGTTATTTATTTTGGTGACTCATTTGATCTTGGGGTGGTTTTCATAAGGGCATTAAAGTTAACATTCTTGTTTAAAAACAAATCTGATTTGACTTCAAATAGTTTTTTGCAAGTGGCAAGGCTTGTGCATAAGAAAAGGTGACTTTTACCTCAGTTTTAGATGTGACATTCACAGTTTTTGAAACTGTTGCTAATTTGTTCATTTTCTTGGCCTCAACCCTAATTCCTAGATGATATTGAGGTGTCTGGATTGTGTGTTTTTTATGAGATTTTTTTAATAGTGTTCTTTTACTTATATTTTTTTTCCTTATGTGTATATGAACAACTTTCCTACAAGATATGTACAGAACCTTTTATCTTTTACTTTATAGAATTCGTGAAAGTGGCAAGAAGACCATGATTATCACAAATAGTGATTACGAATATTCTAATGTAAGTTCTAAAGTTGGATTATCATTCTTTGAAAATTCCAGTCATTTATTTTTGGGGGGTATTTTAGTAACTACAGTATTTAACCAAATTTTATCTGAAATAGATAAGTATATTTTTAATATTACTGATTTTTAAAGTTGATAAATGATTTGTTTATGTATTGTGAAATAATTTTTTCCCTTTATCTAGAAAATAATGGAATATCTGACAGACTTTCCAGAGGTAAGAGTCATTAAAAATTAAAATTACATATGGGATATAAAAGGGGAGGGGGTAGGGGGAGGTAACTGAAAAAATCCATCTAAACAGATGTTAAATATCTGGTATTTTTCACAGTATCGTAAATTATTTGCAGACACTCAAATGGTTTCTATGATGAGGAGAATTAACTCGTTATATAAGTAATTTAATATTCATTTCTATGGTCTGTGTTGGCCCAAATCCAGAAATTGTTTGTTGGTTTTACAACTTGGTGGAAGGCATAGATGTGGGTTTTAACCAAGATTGGTCCATTATTTTGTTCTATAGTACATATTTTTCAAAAGAAATGTTTCTTTATTGATATGTGGAATTAGTCTCAAATTCTGTAAGTACATGTATGTATGCATATTGTAACTTAACGTGTATTTCCTTTTTTAGACAAAAGGCAGGAAGTGGACATCTTACTTTGATTATGTTGTTGTGGATGCTAAGAAACCTTTATTCTTTGAAGAAGGGACCATCCTTAGAAAAGTAGACACTGTGAGTTAAAGTTTGAATGTCAGACAGTTATATCAATTATCCAGACAGTTACCAGTATTAAAATATGAGTGCCTGATTGAAAATACCATTTTGTCTGTGTGTCTGTCAGCGAACACTTTTATAACAGTTTCTTTTCTCTAAGTAGTCAGAGGATGACACCTATAATTTTGAGGGTCACTTGATAGGTCAAATTCTTAAGTTAAGTTTTTCTTTTGACCATTACTCATTCTTTGATGTAATAACATTGATATTTATAAACCTGCAGATTTTATATTTACTTTATAGAAGTAAGATGCTTAGAAGATGACATGATATAAGATCCTCAGTCAAGATTATTAAGGAAGCTCTAAACACTGCTCACAGAAGAGTTCTAATTCCTTGGTAATTTTATGCACATTAGGTGATCTGCCCTTTGTTGTATGACACAATATGAAATAGATTAAAGTATTCTAAACATTATATTAAACCAACATAAAGTAATTGAAAACATAATTTGCATGTATTTTCACAATGTTAGTAAACAACAGTGATTTCTGTCCACTTATTGGTACATTTCTTTGACTTAATTTGAACATTTTTCCTGGCAAAATATGACAGGTACCTGATGTTGAAAGTGAACTAATGAACTCAATATATACAATTTTATATGATTCAATTTTCTTAAAGTCAAAAAAAACAAAAAACATAAAAAAAACAACCCCACATTTTTTATTAGTGTTTAGAGCTTCCGTTATACAAAAATTGCACATTTTCTGAGATATTCTTTAATTTACTGACACCGTGTTTACTGCTAAGGTGTAAAAAGTGCACACACATTTTGGGTCACTTGATAAAGATCTACACATCAGTTAATATGTCCAATACACATTTTATGTTGAAGTAATTGAGGTACATGTGTATATCTTTTAATGTAGACTTTATTTTTACTATGTAAGTAAATAATATTTAAAGAAAGAAGCCTTACATACTTAATCAAAGGTCAAGGGTAAACAGTTTGGTATATTTCAGCACACAGACTGCATGTTGAAACTGTAGCTTCCTGTGTTACTTTGTTAGGTATATGTTTTAAAGTTTATTTGAACTTTTCCATTCTTTGAAATTGCAAAACTGTTTATTCAACACACTTTTGCATTCTTGCCTTGTAAAGAAAGATGTATTAAAAATTGTGTAGTATTACAAGTGTGACATTTTTTTTCTTTCAGACTTCCAGTAAACTAAGTATTGGTCACCATATGGGGAAACTTGAACAACACTGTGCATATTCAGGAGGTAAATTAGGTGTTTTCACTTGACAAGAAATAAAATTTGGTTCATCCATCAAAACTGTTACTATCAATCACATTTTATTCATAAGAATTTTTATTTACCTGTAGTTTCATTTATTGTCTTAATGCAAAATTGAAGGATACACAAAAATTAAGTCTCGGATGTAATTCAGTGCTTTAGTTTTGCTAATTAAAAACCACTAAAAATACGAGTGATTTATTGAAGTATATAAAAAGACATCTCAAGTATCATTTGTCTTAATAAAAAAAAATGATATATTTACTGTTATAAATTTTATAAGCATTCAATATTAATTGTGTAAGTCTGTAGGTCAGTATTATTTATAGTCTAATACCTTATGAGTGGAATTTTTAGTGAGACACAAAATTTAGTGATTTACCCATAAGAACCAGTAATAACTATGTATTTTTAGCGAGAGATAATTTTAGTGATTTTATGAGGTCAAGAATGTTAACTGTAACATCCATTGCTGAGTGAATTGTTAGTGATACATGTATATGTTTTCAGTTTTAGTGACCTTGACACTCTCGCTAAAATCATCTCTAAAATCTTTTCATTTATGGTATATTTACATACAATGTGTCTATAAAGCATGTACCAGAAAGTCCAGTGTAATATATGTATTTTGATGGAGAAGTGATACAATTTGGAATCTTTTTTAGGGTCCTGTGAGGTCATCTCTCAGATGATTGGTTCCCAGGGTAAAGATGTCCTCTATGTGGGAGACCATATATTTGGAGACATTCTGCGGTCTAAGAAGCAGAGAGGATGGAGAACATTTTTGGTGGTTCCGGAGCTCTCCACGGAGCTCCATGTATGGACTGATCAGTCAGAACTGTTTAACAAAATCAAAACCCTGGAACAAACCCTCAGTTATATCTACAAGTAAGCCTGACACATCCTCTGTATTTAGAGGAAAATATTCAATTTGATATTGTGGTAGAAATTGGTTATAGCAAAATTCGTTATAAAAGATGTAGATTTTGTTATTCTAAACTTCCATGGGACACAAAATCATTTAGATATATCTGCAAATTCCCTATATCAGAGTTTGTTTAACCATCAAATTTTACAAGGATTTGTTATGAATGTTGTTGTAAACTCCAAAAAGCTTTGCTATATCACTGTTGGTACAAAAAATTTAGGTTTACTTAGTATTATGTTTGATTATGTATAGAACTGAGTTGTAGCAACAACAAAGTGCTTGTGAAATGCAGTGGCATAAGTATTAGTTTGTTATTAGCCCTTTTCATGGAGATGCATTTATTAATGGAGTGCGATGAACAAGCAAAAGACAGGAAAAACTAAGAGGCTGATACGATTCTTGAATCGTATAATATAAATGATTTGAACTGACACTAAAAAATTGTACTGTTTTTCTTAATGAAAAATTGAATAGTAATTTAAATACTATTTGGTTTATTTCTTTCTAGAAACTTGGACAGCAGTAATTTGGAAAAACCAGACATAACGAATGTCCAGAGAGCCATGATGGTAATTGCTTAGTAGATTTCAGAAACTATAAATATCAGCACTTTTTAATGAATTATTATAAAAAATATTTGATCATTTAAAAGTGCATTACAATGTTTGATGATATTTTTTAAAAGTTATGAATTGTAAAATTTTGTTGTTTGTTAGGGTTTTGAGCTTGATTAAAATGGCTCTGTATTTTTTTTGTTGAAATAAGAAGAGCTTTGGTCTTTCATGTAAATGTACATGAAATTCAAATGTATCAATTCAGGAACTACAGGCTTAGTTAACATTGTAATTTGCAATTAATATGAGTACTTTCTTGATTTTAGGACACAGTGCATGAATTAGACTTGTCGTATGGAATGCTTGGAAGTTTATTCCGAAGTGGTAAGTTTACCAGTTTGAAACAAAAGAAAGCATTAAATCTGAAGTATTTTTATGAGGAAGCTCCAGAAGTGTTTTCTCAATGTTCATGATTATCAATATACAGTAAAGCTTGAATTATGGGCCTATATTGCTAAGGTGACTATGGGTAAATGGATCAAGTACCGGTAAGCATCTTCAGTTTTCATGTTTGGGGCTCACAAAAAGGATTCTCATTAAATACTAATTTGTAAGAGAGAAAGAATCGTGACTCGGATGAATGTTTTAACCCATGTGTCTCTCTTTCAGGTTCCCGGTTAACCTTCTTCTCTTCACAGGTCCAGCGATTTGCTGATATTTATGCGGCTTCTGTCATCAACCTTATCCATTACCCCTTTACCTACATGTTCAGAGCACCTGCAATGTTGGTAAGAATGTGATTAATTATTCTGGGTAGTAATTATAGAATGTCACAGGGAAAGAAAAATCACTCTTTTGGGGTTTATGAAATCTCAATGCTCACAAAAAGTTTACAAGCTATTGTTATTTAGTATTTGAATGCTAAGTCTTCATGCCTAGATATTCTTGCATATTTGTAGTTGCCTCATGAATCGACTGTGTCACATGAGACCACAGCACCGGCTGATGACTTTACTATCGCTAGACAACGATCTGTGAGTTCTGGGTCCAAGTACGCCAAAGTTCACCACTTACCGCACTCTCGTCCTTCCACCCCGACAAAAGTCACCCATCACCACGACGACGACGACTTCGAGGAGACCAGTAGTAACAGCAGTGATAAATCATCGTAATTATTTCAGATTTCTATCACTCTGTGAATTCGGGTTTCAATGTGCAATGAAAATCAATTCAGGAACAAGTTTGTTCACATTGGTTGTCTTTACCATTTGCCCTGATTTTTTTTTTATTAAGTACCTCTTAAGTAAGCTAACTTGAAGGCTGTGACAGTACACCTTTTATTTAATGATTGCCTAAAACCAGTAGTGCTTATATTTCAAAGTAATATTATGTTGAGTACAATATTTATGTACATTATATGTTATGTTTTTGTAAACTGACTGGATCTTTGTGTATATTTTTGTTCTTTGTATGTTTGATATAGGTATTTTTTATTTTTGTCATGCAATTATTTTCTTTCTTTGAAATTCAATTATTGAAAGAGGTATTTTTGAGTACACATGTATATGCAATGATCTAGTCAAATATTTCACATTTTTTCTGTAACTTTGCACTTTTAACCTGATTAATTGAATACATACATGTACTATGTGACAACATTAACCTTTTACAGATAAATATGGAGTTTTGAATCTGTGCCATCTGCTTTACATATGGGACCATTTTGATGCTGAAAATTTTACTATTTATGATTTTTGCTCATGCACACCTTAAAATATCCCCCAGCCTACCTGAATTTCAACAGTTGAATGTGAATTCAAATAAAAGAAATTCACATAAAACATATACTACTCTTATACCACTGAACTGAAAGCTAAAGTATGGAAAAGATGATTTTAAAATCATTGTCATTATTTAGCAAGTCAGCAATGAAAAAGATATTATGATTAAAGGATTTTTTAAAAAGATGTCATTTTAAACAAGATATTGAGAGTCAATTCAGTCAACTTACATATAAATCAAACCTGCTTGTGCAATAAGAACCTCCGTTGACCTCTCGTTTGCTAGCCACCATCTGTAGATCTTCATTGTAGGCTCCACACACACACTGGACATTGTGTATATCATTGTCCAACCATCAGGTATTGCTTGATTGTGGTGTTTTCAGTATTTAAACTTTTAATGTACATGTATATGTAATTTTAATTATCACAAGTGCAATTACAATTTTTGAACTATTTTTGTCTTTTATGATAACCTTGTCTCCAAGTTTCACCATACAGACTTGCATTATTTGTCATGTTTGATGTTAGTGTGTTAAGATAGTTGTAGAAGTACAGTGATGTTGTTGATGTTTATTATAAATTACTGTATAGCTATCTCAGATAAAGGTACCAGGTACCTTTTTTTATTGTAACAGAGAAATCTAGCTATGGTTTCTTGGGAAAATACAACATTTGCGATGTGGACCAGTGGTCTTTGTTACATGTGTCAAGATCTTACATTCTATTTGTTATACTGTTGTGTTTTTTTAATTTCAGTAAGATTTTATTTTTTACCAGTATGCTGTGACATCTGAGGTGAACTGAGAGAGTTATGAGAAATTATAAAAGTTTTAATTATATATGTTATTTTAGGTTTTTATTTAGTATAGACATATGATTGCATATTAGGTACTTATTCATGTACATGTATTTATAATATTTATTATATGCACATTTCCAGGAGTTGATAATGTAGGCATGTATGAATTAAAGGTGCTTCACTAGATCTGTGTTTTTCCTGTTGAGACTTCAGTGATGATCTGTCTGATAAAAATGATGATGTTCCATACTACTCTTGTTAGGTGAGTCTTAGTCACTACTACAGCGCAGTAGTTTGCAAAGATAACTAGAAATATGTTCATAGGACATAAATGCCCTGCCAAGGGTCTTAAGACCAGGATAAATGGGGAATAGTGAGGTCAAGGACAAGGGGAAGGTTAAGGTAAAAAGAATTATGACACAGTTGAATAGCTCTCACCACTTTGTATTAGTGTATGAAGTTTGATGATGAGCACGGCACAGGACACTGCACTAGTTATAGCATCCGTATGATAGCAGGCTAATCCAAGTAAATTAAGTATTGTATAGTTCTACATCATTAAATAAAAATTGCCTGATAAAAAGGAGATTTTCCAGTGGCTAGTTACCTGATTGAATTTGTAAAATGATGTGTAAGGTGAAGGAAAAATTTAAATGATAAAATAAAATGATTGTCCTCTGATTTCTTTTTTAACTGCTATCAATGATGAAGTCAGAAAACTTTATAGTACATGCATTCATGAGCTGCTGCTGTTTTGTTGAACAACTAATACAGTGAAAGAATGTTTGACAGAATTGAAAAGTATAAAGCAATTCATAGCAGATGCTACAGATATTATCATCAATATAAAGAGACAAACCAAACATCAGATTACTATCTACAAGCATAGTAAAAAAGTTCAGAAAACCAACTGTTACGGAATGACAGACAAATTGAAAGGGATAATCATTTTGTGTCCTAACCATTTCATAGCGTGGGCATAAAAATTTCTATTAGATAACTGATTGTGAGTTTGCAGGGGCAGATCCAGGAATTTATGTTGGGGGATGCAAAAAGTAGGCAGAGGGCCTGAGGACCCCAGTGGGTCAAGGGCAAAGCCCTCAGAAGCTCCTGAATTCTAGAGATTTTGTAGGGTAAAAATGAAGTCTACGAATAGATATTTTTACATTTTCTCGACAAAATGATGATTTACGGTAGCTTTGACAGTTTTAGGGGGTCGCGCCGTGTGCATCCCCTCCCCCTTAAATCCGCCACTGGTTTGTACATATTTTAACCTCAGAAAGCTTCCAAATAAGTTTCAGCTTTTCTGGTCCAGTGGTTCTTGAGAAGATTTTTAAAGATGTTTTCCTTATATTTCAATGTAAAACTTTCTTTCCTTATTATGGACCCACCCTACCCCCAGGGGTCATGATTTGAACAATCTAGAATGAACACTACCTCAGGAAGCTTCCACATAAGTTTCAGCTTTTCTGGCCCAGTGGTTCTTGAGAAGACTTTTAAAGATGTTTCTATTATATTTCAATGTAAAACTTTGATTCCCTATTGTGACTCCACCTAACCCCTGGGATCATGGTTTGAACAATTTAGAATCTACATTATCTCAGGAGGCTCCCACATAAGTATCAGCTTTTCTGGCCCAGTGGTTCTTGAGAAAAAGATTTTTTAATGGCCCCACCCTATTTTTGTCTTTTCTTGATTATCTACCCTTGTAAGGGGGCTTGGTCCTTCATTTTAACAGTTTCAACTACCCTTTAATTAACCAAAGCTGGTACAAACCATCCTTTATAAAGGGCCTTTATAAAGGATGGTTTGTACCAGCTTTGGTTAAAATTGGCTCAGTGGTTCTTGAGACGATGTTGAAAAAGGGAAAAGTTTACAGATGTACAACAGACAACAGGTGAGAAGAAAAGCTCACTTGAACTTTCAGCTCGGGTGAGCTAAAACATCTTCTGAAGGACCAGCAGGACCAAGGTGACTCAGATGAGCATTGTGGCCCATGGGCCTCTTACTGCCGAGTACTTCAATTATAAAATCACTTCATACATTATAAAAAAGATCAAATTATGGCAGACCTGTGCTTGACTTGAATTCAACCTAAATTACTACATAGTCCTTCAAGAAATACATGTAAAATCAAGACTGTAGGCAGAAGGAAAGTTTATGACATTCTAAGATTTTGTTTTCTCTGTTTAACATTTGCAAGCGCCTTGGATTTCGACACCCCAGATCAAAATCAGAAGTTCAGAAATTGACGGTATTTGTGGAAACCTCTGAATTCTGTCAACTTTTTTCCTTATTTTTAGAGAATCTGTAAATACTTAGCATTTACTACCTTCATCTGCAAAGGAATATATCTTTCTATAAGAAAAAAGAGAATAATGAAATCAAAAATTCTTCAAATGATGATGTCTTTATGACTATGAAGTTTGTGTTTTAATTTTTGGCTGGTGTGTTTTTGAAAATTGGAATGGTCTTTGTCAAAAGATCTAAGCAAGTAATGAAGCCCATATCACAAAATGTTGAATGCTCACTATGGCCTATCTGTATAAGAGGATCCCAAAGTGTACAAAAATGAGTACAGCACAGTACAAGAAAATATGTGAAGCCAAGATTAAGGGTCAGTTAGAAATGGCTGACAGTTGTCAGAGTTCATTTGCTCCTTCTATAAAAAAAGAAACATTGAAAACACTTTTAAATTCTTTATTATACACTTAAATAAAAGACAAAACAATACTGACATGTTATTTGAAATGAGGTAATATTTATTTATTTATGATTATTTCACACCTGAATTGACCACTTTGTAAGAATACATACCAAGACCACAATAACATTGAAAGGTCAAACAACATAATATCTGCCAAAGCACTATATGAGAAACAGTGGATTGTGAAAGTTTCTGTGTTAGATATAAGAATTAAGATATGATTGAGAGAAGATTGTCAGATATGAACAGGAAAAGGACACCAATACAGAAATAAAAGCACTAAGATACAAAATCTCTTCAGACCCCTTGGTGAGAAAAGGGCAATCGGTTATCACAAACTGGACTTCTGAGAGAAGGCCAAGAAAATCTGGTAATGGCACATTAATTAAGTACACATTTACAATGGAAAGGAGCTAAATAACGAGTATCACATTCATTAAATGTTAACTGCATTATCTCCCTTTATAGAACAATGTTTGAAGACTGTACAATTTTCTATACACTGTACACATATAAAAAATATACACAGCACTTTCTGTACAATTTGACACTATATAAAACTGTCCATCTTTGTGACTCTGATATGGAATGTTTTTTAGCACTAGCTGTTGAACACTAGGAAATGTTTACAATACACTCTCTCGAGATAAATTTGTCGGTGATTGGATGACTAGAAGAGGCATTCTGGATCTCGGTGTATGCATGGCTTTCTGAAAGAACAAAAAGGTAATGGACTTAAAATACCTTGATACAGTTTTAAAATCATGTTAATAATTACGATCAGCATTCATTGCTGAATCATGAACTACAGTGTACTATAAATAGACTATATAATGACTCAAACTGTCTCAATGAATAACATTAACTTATATATCAATGAATAACATTTACTATTTGTCACTCGGCTTTGAAATAAACCCTAGCAGTCAATCTGACAACACAATCTTAAAATCAGATTATTATTAGCTTTACAAAATGAAATTCTCATATCATCTTACTTGTGTTTTGGAGGGAATTTTTTTCACAGATTCTGATATGGGAGATTGATTCATTGGTGACACCATAGCTATGGGTTTGTTGTGAAGCTGTTTGGGGGTACAGGGGCAGTGGCGACGCTGATGGGGGATACTGGCCAGGTACTGAATCTCATTCTCTGTACAGGGAACCTTAGTAATCTTCTCTGGAGAAGGCCGCTTCTCTGGAATACTCCCGTCACTACTACCACTACTCCGCCTCTTTCTGGGTTTGAGTTTTTGAGTCGGAGTTTTACTCAGATCTACTATGTGAACTGCTGGACTACCCGGCTGTAAAAAAAATGAAGGCAAAGACTGCAGAAAATGAAACCCCAAAAAAGTTATAAATCCAGATAATTTGAATCAAAGTGCAAAGTTAGATACACATGGATATTCCTATAGGAATAAAATCTTTAAACAAATTTAGAGTATTTAAGGTCAAATATCAAAACTCTCAAACACAATATCTTTATTTGACAACAATGCTTACCTGTTTCAGTCCTATTGTTGTTTTGCCATCAGGAGTTTTTGTGATGAACACATCATCATGGTGGATGTTGTCATTTTCGTCAATGTCGATTGTTTTAGTTAGAGTCCAGGGTACACTTCCTGTCAGCTTACTTCCATCATTGGAGCCTCTTCTCTTGTGATGTTTGTGTAGACTCCCAAAATGCTTCTGTAGGAAAAATACACAAGAAATTTATTAAATATTGTTCCCATGTTTACTATTCCATTCAGAGATCATTTACTGGCAGAAAACAGGATTCCTTCCCCAAGAGTTGCCAAAAAAGAAGTTTAAAAACATGCACACATATATTTTCAATGTTGATGAAACAATCTCTCAGTTTGTGTGCATCACATACTTTGATTTATTTTACAAATGCATAGTATATTGAACTACCTACCTTAATTTGTTCCCCCAGGGTCTTACTCCTGGAGTGTTTCTTGGGAGGAGCTGAACCACTGGCCTGATTGAACTGCTTGAGTAACTTCTTCTTTTTTGATGAGTCGGGCATCATTTGCACATGGGCGTAGAGTTTGGCCAGAGCCACCTGGGTGTCGTTCCCAGAGTCTGAATCACTGGAGGATTTCCTCTCGGCAAAACGAACCACTGTATTAACAGCTTGTGTGCTTCCATACTTCTGTAAAACAGTCGAATGATATTAATTATACAGTTGAACTTCGGTATCTCAAACACTGATATCTTGAATACCATGGATATGTCAAAGTGATTTTGAAGTCCCAACCCCTTATTCTTTAAGTATTTTACCCTGGATATCTCGAATCCTCGGATATCTCGAAGTTTTTTCTCATTGAGTTCAAGATAATGAGGTTTGACGGTATTTCCATGGTTCAAAGAGGGCAGAGAAAGTGAAGAGATACTTCCCATAAATAAATATTACATGCATGTTCATGTATCATAATAAGGCCTAAAATAGCATTTTGAAAATGACAGTTCAGAAAACAAGTGTCTCTCTAAGCTTTCCCTTTCTATAATACTCCAAACATCCTGCTCGGTAACCTTTACTGAGATATACACACCATCTATTTAGACTCTGTGCTCTTACCTTTGCACTGTACAGACTTGAACTAGAGTTGTCTTGGTCACCCTCACTTTTGACCCTATTGCACTTGCTTGGTGTTTCCATTTCCCGCCAAAAATTGGCAATATCTGCTGCAAGTTCCCTAGGTGTCTGCAGAACAGTAACAAACACATAGAAAATTTACTCACAATTTACTTCATCTAATTCAGCTTAGATATAATATTAGAAATCTGAGTGATACCTTCCTACACTAAAATATACTCACTTTAAAAATTTGACAACCATTTTCCACCATGAAGGATACAGCTTGGCTTAGCTTGGGGGAGAAGTGTTGCAGTTCCTCTGGTGGCATCTGAAACCAGAAAAAAGAGAATTACTATGAATTTTACTTTCACATCATGGAAACACTTTTCAAATTGTTCTGTAAATAAATTTTATATGGTATCACAAGAAATAAGATCAGGGATAAACTTTTGAAAGCAGATCGCTCAATTTATCAGCTGCCTAATCTAAATTCAAATTTAGGAACATCTTTCAGAACACAGTTAAAATGATATATATTTTCTTCAGCTGATCATGACCCCATACAATCTAAATTGATAAAATTTTTACAAACTAATAAACTTGTTAATATTTGCTAACATTAAGAATTCAATGCAAAAGAAAAAAAAAACTGTTTGGAGAAAACTTCACTGAGATTTTAAAAGGAGCCTCACCTTTCTGGAACATAACAAGCAGGGAGCAAACACAGTTCCTAGTGACTGAGCGGTCATCATATTTTCTGAGATTCTGGACACTCGATGAAGCATGTCAATGAGGCACTCCAACAGAAGACAGTTTGTGGGGGGCAAGGCCAGAAACATCAGCTGTAGAGCCTTCATCTGCTTACTCCGAGCTTTTGTCTTCTCTGTCTCAAGAGTTGACTGTGACATCATGTCTGAAAATTACACACACACTTCTGTTGATAAATCTGTTTGCATAACATCTCATATACATTTTATTTAACATCTCATATACATTTTATTTAACATCTCATATACATTTTATTTAATGCTCATTCTAAAAACAATATTACTTTTTAATATTCCAATGACAAAAAAGTAAAGAAAATACTGTAAGAAATCACACTGGAACTTGAACATTTTGAGAGTGAGCTATTGTTAGGGATGACACACTACTTACCAACAACCTGTAAATGAGCCTGGTAGTGCCTCTCGGTCAGCAGGGGTTCTGGGAGCTCTGAGAGGTAGTTTTTGAGGACAGTGGCACAGTCATGAGGGGTGAATGTCTCCTGATCCAGACAGAGGTCCACCCCCTCATTTAACCACTCCTTTAATAAGCGTTGGCGAGCAACATTACCAGTCTTACGAAACAAACCCTCTGTCTTCAGATCTTAAAAATAAGATTGAAATTAGACATAAACTACATGTAATTAATTCCAGAACCACAGTTTATCAAGTATTCAAATCTGCGAAATACATGTTTAATCATTTTTGTATGAGCACATTATAAAATGCACAGAAAGGCTATTATCAAATCATGATTCAGAAACTTTCTATTGGTTGATAAACCTTCAGATCTTTAGCTTTCATTTTTTGATAGAGATATACTTTGTTTCTCTGCCGATCTTCACTTACTTTCTGGTCGACTCAGGAACTCGATCAGTGGGTAGATTCTGGCCACGTTCTCATTGCTTAGAGGAGTTCCAAACAAAGCACTGGCATGTTTGTCTGGAAACAAAAATTACAACAGAAATGTATAAAAATAAACTCTCAATCAGTAATTACATAGTTAAAGAAGCTATATGAGGTAAAGACTATAAAGAGGTTTTCAAAATAAATGTTGACAGATTTTCACATACCTTTCTTTTTTGAGAATGGAGTAGCACTTTTTCTTTTTGGCACAGCGTCTACTTTTTCTGGTTCTTTGAACATTTCTTCTAACTTGGATCCACTTAAGTCGAGTATAAAAGACAGATGCATTTGAACCATGACCTGGAATTTGTCTGGCATGGCATTCTTCAGCCGATTGACCAACTTGTCAGCGTCTGTGTGCCGACGTCGCACAACAGGGGTGGACATCTCATATGCTGTGAAAATTAAGAGTCTTTCTTTAATACTTACAATGCATAACATAAAAATTGTAGTTGAAAAAAATGTTTTAGTGCACGAATTATTAATTAAACTTTACTTTCTCAAACAATTGTTAAATAATACCCTTAAATTTCAAACATAGAAAGCGAGCATTTCCAACAATTCAAAATTTTTACAATACAATTAATTATAAATTCTGTTTCAAAAAAAAAAAAAAAAAAAAAAAAAGTTTTGTCAGTCAGACACAATGGAAGAGATGTCCATATGTTCTCTTTTGCCACAATCTGCCATATCTTACTTTTCATAATTGCAATTTACTGTATGTCCATTACAACAATTGCTAACTGGACTCCCCTTCTTGTTAAAAAATAACAGGAAATGAGTAAATAATTCTGCTGGCCACTATAAGCTAGTGGTGGACAGTACTAGACTGATCAAACAGTTCTCTGATCAAGTAGCCAAAGTCCCTTGGGCTCTAGAGGAAATCCTTTATCCAATTTATATCATAGGCCCTAAGGATGTCATCTGTTTACATAACAGTAAAAACCTCTATTAATCTTATTTCACTTTGTGTAATGCATATCTCTATGATTCTCTAAAAGACAGTGACCTGATCAATTGAAAAATATGAAAAATCAACTTACCAGGATGTACTTTCATTTTAGTGTAATAAATATTGTATTTAATGAAGTATATACTCTAGAAATTATACCACACAAATGGGACTTAAACTTACACTGAACAGTTTACAAACTTTATGGCAACCCAGCAGGGGCAGTCTAGGGTGACATACACCAAACAGAACTTAATCAAATTAAACAGAAGGTGCTAATCAGCAGGGGTCAATGTAGGCATAATTAGTAATGGACTGATGGAAAATGTTAATTTGGCACTTATCCATGGAAAAAAAACCAATTAATTAATTTACATTTAATGAGCAACCCTGCAGTTTTGCTGTAGAACTAGTGGTAACTTGAAAAAAAAATCAAAAACAGTAAATCAGAAATATTACAAGACTTAACAAATAGAAATAAAGAATTGAAGTTTTGTTGTAGTTTATAGAAATTGGTATACATGTAAATTCAGTCAGATTATAAACAGTTACAATTTATTCTTTGTGCATTAAAATTGTGTAATTATTTTAATTGGTCCCTGTTTAACATATAATTCACAAGTGGCCAGGGGCCCTTGAGATTGAACCTTAGGGAATGCTATTGTCCAGACAATGTTAACCTGTCAGTTTGATAAAAAGGGCCATCAATCTAGAACCCTAAAATCCCTTTGAACTTCAGTCCTCCTTCATGATTTTGTGTAGCTTTTTTTCAACGACATCAATCACTTCCCAAACATATAAAATTTCAAATCAAAATTCTTTGAAGATAAAACCAAAATGCAACCCAAGGATTTGAAAGCAATGAGATAAACTTGATATAACTAAATGAGTTAAGACAATTTCTATCATTTCAGAAGAGAAAACAATTCATGACAATATGTGTAGTACTTTACCTTGGAATCTAAATTCACAGAACACTAACAATCTCAAAGTATGTCCGTTTGCTCAACACACTGAACATCAAAGGAACACATGTCCTAGTAATAAGCAAATATAGATAATACCCTCAAACAAAGCATGTGTAAGACCTTATATAACAGATCAATACTTAACATCTAGTGATGACCAATACTGACCCTATGCCTTTACAACTGTCCACCTCCTCCAAATTAGATATTGAACACAATAATTCATGAGCTGATTATAAAGCCTCAGCAGCCCATGTTAATGACATTTGGCAGGGCACCTCATTCTGACATAACCAAGACCTGATAATCAGTCATACCTAAAGAGTGATCATTAACTGATTTTTCACAAGGGAGTTCTAAATCCCCTTCCTCATTTTCCACTGGGCATGGCAGAATCTGGCAGGCAGTTGCTAAATTTCAGTTTGTCTAATAACAGTATAGTGAGTATACTGGGATATTGTGTTTCTGGACTCTTTATGACACTTCATGAGAATATGTGAAAAAAATAAGGTTTATTATTCCATAATGTACTTCTACACAGCATAAACATTGCTAAGAAGTAATAACCTACTGCAGTTGAATTTCAAGTTTTGCATAATGTAAAGCATAATATTACAAGTCATATGTTATTTTGGTAAAAAACCTTACAGTATTTTTCTTAATAGCAGAGAGCTATTATAAAATTGTAAATAAAATTTTCTTCTTTTTAACATGATCATTTAAGTAAATCAAATTGATAATTTGTGTTATTATACAGTTTTTTAAGTTATTTAGCTATAATCTGTAGAAAATTCCTGAGAAATATGACTTGTTATCTGAGAACTGTGTGTTAATTAACCTGGAGCTTAACTTATCATTAGCACAAATGGCCCCTGACTGGTTGTATAGATAGTCTCCTAGGCTTGGGATTAAAATAAGTCCAGGGATAACATAGCTTATCTAACTAAGTAATGATTGGTATCAAATTTATCTAGTTATAACTCTCTTTTAATGATGAGCAAACTTTGCAATTGCTCTTATAACTTGCTGCAAGCTACAAAAATTTCCTAACTGCAATTTTGATTGACTGACCATGCTGAAAACATATAGCTAATGTTATAGAAATGTTATAAACACTTGCTACACAAAGTTCAGCTGAAATTAATTTTGCATTATCATGATTATTGGGGAAAATTTGCTGGATTTTAGAAAATATATTTGGGGAACAATTTAATTTAATTTGATATAATACTTTATATCATTATGAATAATTTCTTTTTAAATGTTATATGTGTAGACAACAAAAAGACAAGCAATTCTAAAACTTACAGCAGTCATGTAAGAAGTCTGTAAAACAAATATCCATTCCAAATCCATAACATTTTTGCTGGAAAGGAGACAGTACCATAATTCTTCAATCTCTGTAGCTTAATGACTCCTTAAAACAGGGTACAAACAGTCTAAATAGTTTCAAAATAGTCTATTGTTTCACAACAAATCATCACCCAAGTCCCAACTCAGTATGTAGATGTCAGCATGTACATGTTGTCATCCAGTACATATGTCTATAGGGGGGGAGGTCCTTCAGTCAATACTAAATCCTTGCAGAAAAGTCAGTCAGGTTTCCATTAGTTTGGATTCTATCCCACTGTGTGTGTATTTTCTCAAAAAATGGAGACCCTACAGATCCAACATCTTTATCAGGTCAAATCTTCTTGACCCCCTGCTGGGTTCAAATTAAGCCAATCTAAGGTTAGAAGCTATAGGTTATCTCACACACGCTGTGATGGTTCAGGAGTCAAAAGAAGACTTCCTTCAGCAAACAAAAAATTATAAATGCATTGTTAAGTTTGGTTGGTTTTAGGAAAAAGTTTACAAACAATTAACCTATAATGTAATGATATCCTTTGGAGCTGGAGGCTAGAGAAGTGGACAGTGAATGAACAGTGTGAAGGCACACAGGACCTCTACCAATCAGAAAAGCTCTTGTCAATGCAATTGTTGAGCAACCCCTCAGGACAGATGAGACAGAAGATCAAAGGCAATGCTTAAATGTGGTCTAAGTCATAAAAGTGGCTCAAAAACAGATAAAAACTTAGTCTTTCCTGTAAAACTTGGACAAGTTTTCTGTTTGAACTTTGAGAGACATGGTTATTCCAGTCTGCATTACTGGTCTAGGTCATATAAAAAAACTTAGATCTGAGGATGTAGTAATTTAACAGTTACTTGATGACATCAAAGGCAATAAATATAATCTCAGTAGTTATTACATAAATTAGCAGGAACAGGAAAATGTGGTTTTACTTGAGAAGGAGAAAATTTAAGCCACATCTTAAAATATACAAGAGCTGCATTTATTTTAAATTAAATACCATCTTATATAATATAGATATACATACACACATGCAAAATTAAAAATAAATTTCATTCACAATTTTTACACACTTTAAAATTAGCTATCAATCCAATTAATAACTAAAATACTTACTTGATGCTACAGTATAAGAATAACTTTTTACATTGTTTATATTTAAATATTATTTTAACACATACATTTTCAGTGCCAAACTGCATGCTATTCACACTTTAAGGTTAATAAAAATATAGACGAACCTTTCTAATACAGATGATCTCTATGATAATGCTCCCAATATAAACAATAAGAATGTACTGTGACTTTCAGTGTGTGAGACTTTTGTTTGCTTTCACATTCACAACTAAACAGGTTCTTGTTTATCTTGTACAAGTTGCAAGGAATTCCCTGAAAATGGCTAAAATAACACAGACCTGTCTCTTAATTCAGTTTTAATTCAAACAAACTGTGGCTAGAAAGTTGAAGGAGGCATGGATAATGAAATTAGATAAACTATGAAGGGTTGTGTTTGTTCTTCATTATGTCAGAGTTGGTCATAAAAATTTTGTTGTTTTTGGCCAATTGAATGGGGATTTCTATAGACCTAGCAGTAACTCCTACACCACAATGAAATTTCAAACATCTGTTATTTGACAAATTAGTGTAAATCCCCTGAACAAAGTCATGTATACATAATGATTACTTTTCACCTATACAATGATCCCTCATCAAGCCCCTCCTGAGTCTGCAGGTCCCCTGTAGCTAATTAAAGCAGGGAATGAAAAATTTTCCAAGCCCTAGACTTTTGGCACCCTGTCACACACAAAAGTTTAGAAATGGCTAAAGAACATTGAATTGCTGAATCCAGTCAACCCATCCAACTGTTTAACACTTGAAACTTATTATCCCCCAAAAACTGTGATATTGTATATCCTGCCTGGTAAATCAGCACAAGGGGGGTCTTTGTTTGGTTCTGCTTAGAGTCTTAGTCTTTAAAATCCTGCTGAAACAATTCAACTGTTCTCACACTTGAGGTCATGACATATTCTCAACAATGACCAAAGGGACTTTCCAATTGCCAATCAATTTCCCTCGTCTATAGAAGACCCATAAATTTGGGTCAATGAAATTGCAATCATGACCTTCATTTAGATTTCATTAGATAGCCCCATAAATTTGCCATAAACCTCAATAACTTTTAAACAGCTGAGCTCCCTTGGGATGGCATGGCTGGGTGAGGATGAATTATTCCCCTGTTATCTGACCAAACCCCTCCCTGAGAGATGAACATTATACTCACCAGCGATGATTCGCTCAAAGAGCTGGACAGTATCAAATCTATACATTATCACAAGGGGAAACTGAACTCATCCAGAATGAAATTATCACTTAAACATCCACCTGTTTTACCATGGAACACTGAATGAAGTTGTGTAATACTAAGTCAAATGTTTATAATCCTTGATACCCTAGCAGTAATTATAGGTGTTAATTAACTTGTCAACATTTAGACACCAGGAAGACTTCCAGTTTTTTTTTTCCAAATTCACTTTTCTCCAGCTATGGGTACCTTGAAGCCTAATATCTCTACCTTAACAGTCACTATAGGAAAGGCTGGTAGATGAGCAGGGCTTGTGTAGATTTTAGCCCCTGATTACATTGTCTGTGATCATGTAATTCTGACCAGACACAGATGACAGCTGAGTGAATAATGGGTCAGTGTTGACACTGGTGACAGAACAAGATAGAGATACAAGAGGATAAGACCCCCATCCCCTAAAATACAGTTATATCAGTGTTAAAATCTTACAAAAAATCACAGTTCTATTGTGATTTCAATCTCAGAGGTGTGCAGACATGTTTTCAAACCTGTTTATTTATTTTGTGTAGTTAGTGAGATACTAGAATTTTAAAATTTTATTTATAAATATTTTTTTAAAGATTTTTTTTTAATACAAAATAGACTGAAAAATCTTGATACAAAGAAAATTAAAGATTCAGTTTTGATTGAAATATATTATTACTATACATGTGAAATAAATTAACAATCAAAATTTAGAACATTTTTAAATATTATTTAACAATTTAATTTCAGAGAAAATGTTTTAAAATTTTCAAATTAATTAATAAGCATCAATGGTATTAAAAAAGGCTGTTTAGAGTAAAAATGTTATAGTTTCATGTAAATGATTAGATTATACATTTCTCTAAATATAATAAATTTCATTCACAACCCACATGCTCTAATGAAAATTTCCTGCATTTCAAAAGTATTGGGAAGAGAGATCTACAAGTGTGGATATTTTCTAATAATAAGAATAAAATTTTGTTAATTGTGAAATTTTTCCAAATGCAATAATCAAATCAGCAAAAAACAAATGGTTTAAAATAAAAAAATCATGCCCCCCCCCCCCAAAAAAAGTATTTCAAGTTTCAAATACATTAACATTTCAACAAAATCATCTCTGTAAATATTTTCAGGGAAGACAGTTAAAAAAAAAACTGATGAAAATTTTTTCCCCCGTTATTTACTTTACTTTTTTTTAAAAAACTAAATGTTACTACTTTTCTCATTTTCAAGAATTATTTTATTGTGTGACAGCTAGGTTTTCATTCTCATAAAATGCCAAAACTCTAGATTTATCAGGTGTTAATACTTTAATCACCCACAAAAATCCCCTTGTTTTTAACAAAACTAGGAAACAAAAAAGCTGTATCTTTGTTTACATAGTTAGTAATGATCCCTTGTTTATTAAATGCCACAGGACAACTTATCAAATGTACCCATCACCTGGTCATCATTATACATTTATACACACAGTGCTTTTGCAATATTTATGTTCATCTTTATGGGCTTTCAAATTATGTGACATAATTACGTCCATATATCAATGCCAATTTTTGAACTACTTCACCTATTATTACAGATTATGAGAAATAAAAAAAATACCTTCTTAATAATGAAATTTTATCCAGAAGATAAAATCCCCCCCCCCTCTCCCTATAAAATTACATTTAACCTACTAATTGAGTTGAAATCTATTAGAACTTAGTTTCATGTCAAAAAAGGAGATTAAATTAAATTATTCATCCCCTGAAGATCATTGTTATGCTCTCTATAGCATTTCATTATTTCAGTGAAATGTTATTTACCATCCTTCCTCAAAGTGGTAGACTAATAATTAGAACCTATTGAATTCTTTAGGATTATACCATCTAAATTTATCTCTTCCTTTGTAAATGACAAAAGACTGATTTGTTTTTACAGGAATTGACTGTGTATATTATATTATTTTTCTCATTAATTGCTGGACGACAGACAGGCAGTCTGGCTTATTGTATTCTGATAATAAAAGTGTTAAATGTGTTTTGGGTGTGACACCTTTATAAATAATGATTATTTTTCTTTAGTTTGTTTGGTAACTTAGTTTACACAACATCATCTATATTATCAGAATGACAGAATTAAAATGAATAATTTCATTCTGGTTGTAACACACCATTTGATTGGATAGAAAATTTCATTTATATCGTATAACTGTGTTGCCTACGTCACAATGACTAACGTACTACGTCAAAACGTATCAACTGCTTGACGTTACATTTAAAATCTGAAGAATTTTGAAGGCCTTCTTGAAGGGAAAATTGTCTAATTTTTTTTTATACTTAATGATAGAAATTTAAATTATACGGAATAAATTTAATAGCTACTCAAGTTATACTTGTATAACCTGGGTTTGAACAGTTTTCACTTTTTTATAAACCACTTCATGGTTTATAAAGCGTAAACTGTCCCAACCCAGATTATACACCCAGTATAACTTGGGTAGCTATTAAATTCATTTCTTTATTGTAAAAAAAAGTACTGCAAAAAAAAAAAAACAAACAAACAAAAAAAAACAATACCTAGGATGGTGAAGAAATATGTCTTAAAAGTCTAAATAATTTGCCACTATAAATAAATTATGTATACTATGTTAAAATGTCCTGTAGATAATAATGTGAAAGAAAATTATTTTGGGTATACCATATGAGATACATTAAAAGTTTAAATCTTGAGTTTAAACTTATATCCATAACTATCATTTAGA